TTTCCCCCTCGGATGGGAGGACCGATGGACACAAAGGCCACTTTCCGGCGCACGGGGAAACAATATTATGAGAGGAACAAAATGGCGGTGGAAGAGGATGTGGGAAAGGGAAACAGGCAGTTGGCATCACTGAAGGCACCCTAGTTTATTCCTTTCTTGGTTTCGAGAAAGCGGAGTATCAATTTAGAAGAACGCCGTATATCGAAAAGGAACGTTGTTTAAAAAATGGCTTCCTTACTTCGCGCATAAGGCGCGTGGGCGCGCGACTAATTCCTGAAGAGTTGCGGCACGCGATCGATCCCCCTTTACTGCCCAGCCTGCTCAGCCAGAGGCAACCCAAGCGGCACAGATTTTGGCCAAGCATTGGCCATTGGTTGGCGATGGTCTTTTGGCCAATGGCCATAGAGTGGCCATCCATTGGCCAATGTTAGCTACACGGCTGATGGCCAGTTACCAGAGAAGGGCGATTCATCGGCCATGGTTTGTCTGGCCACTGGCCAAATGACCATTGCCCGGCATTGGCCAATGATTGACCAAATCTGTGCTGCTTGGGAAAGCTCTTACTCTAAAGTAGCAATAAAACCCCGATCCTCTGAGGCTTAACCCGCTGTTACTTTTCCAGTGGCCTCAATAACGGGCGCCAGCTTCCGCTATCCTCAACACAACACTAGGAGAGACCCCATTAACAGACCTACGTGTTTCTACTGTGGAGTGCGAGGGCACATTGTCCACTTTTGCCACATGCGTCGCAGCGATGAGGAATGCCGATGGTACCGAACGACCATCCCATCAAACATCGAGCCACAGATTTGATTAGCCACCACGTTGTTTATTATAGAACCGAACTACTTGTTTTGACTCCGGCTTTTCACCATCACGAAGACTGCAATATGTTCAATCTGTCTTTCTCGCCTTCCCGTCGTCGTTTTTCGCCGCCCATGAGTGCCCCGCCGGCCGCTCAATCAGCCCACCCACAGAAAACTAAGTTGCGCAGTTTGCGGAGGTGAAGCTGCCGCAATCGATACCACAAGAAAGCCTCCCGATTCAGGAAGCTACATCAGTATTATCATCCATGAACAACACTTTACTGCTCTTCTCGCTACTGCTGAAAAGGGGCAGCGGTCCGGCTACGCCTTTCGTCTCGACGGTCGCAACAGCAGAGCAACCATCTTGTTTGTTTACGTGACGTCACGGAAGTCACTCGCGCTCCGAGAAATTCTCGGTGCACAAAGAGCGCGCTCGAGTGTCAGTCTCCGGTGGCACTTTTGTCCGCTTAGTGGAAGGACTGCCAAACTCTCGCGCTCCGGAGCACGGACCAACTTCCTGCTACTCAATGCGGGACATGCGGGGCAGGGGAGGGGGGGTTGAGGAAATTTATGAACACACACAGCACGAACCGAGGCTCTGTTAACACATTTAATATCATGTGCTGTTTAACACCCCGCAATGGTATTGCAGCAATTACGCTAAAATATGTCATTGTGTCGAAGTTGAAAGCATACAAATCAACTGCAGCACAACTCAATGCATCAAATGAAATTAGGAAATAGTAAATATTTTCCCGGTCATTGTTTCCTGTCAACGCTTACTTTTATCAACATGGTCCTACACACATTTTTTTAACATTATGTTATTTCCCGACCGTCGAGAGTTGCAGGCTTTTTTTCCTTGTGTGGCTCTCTGCACTAAAAAGCTATGCCACAGCAACCCTTTTGCATTGACACAACGATATGAAGATAATTACAATAATTTATATTTAAACTTTTGGCGAGCAATTTTCTCCATACAGTCGAACCGGATTATATCGAATTTAAGGGGGATCGTAAAATAGTTCGATATATCAATAATTTGATATACACAATATGTTAACTTAAGCTTCAGTTGAAATTTCCGCGCGTCTCTGCTACTATTGAAGGCTACGACGAACGGGACCTTACCAAATAGAGCCTCTAAATACAGTAGAGCTTGGTGAAGGTCACAAGCCACGGTATTTGCGATCGTTTACACCTGGCGCGACCTCCACACAGCGCCGGTCACAAAACACGAAAATAATTTAAAATAAAAACGGAAAAAGCAAGCCGCATAAAAAAAAAAGTCTCAATTATAGAATAAAGTTAAGCAACAAAAAAGAAACCTCACTAAATTCAGGCAGCAAAAGAAGAAAGGCAAAAAAACAAGAAACCACGAAAGGAAAAGGTAAACAAAGATAAGGCGTTCAAAGTGCGATTGCTCAGCCGCTGTTGTCCACGCACAACTTGACACCTTTTTTTTTTTTTTTTGCTTATTTTATTTTGGGGCTAAGGACTCGCTCAGCGAGAGCTGTGTTTGAGGAAAAAGCGCACGCTACCGTTCCAACAGCAGCCGGGCTAGAGCGCCTTCATGTTCGTTCTGTTAGGCCAGGCACTCCCTGCCCTCCCTATGCGCGCGCGTGCCGTTCCCCTTGCTTTTGCCATCCTCCCACTTTTTTTTTTTTTAGATACGGAGCATCTCTTGCTCGGGTCTATGTCCCGCGGTGTCGTAGTCCGCACTCACACTACGCATGCGCAACTCTCCTCCTTCCCTCTCTCCAACAGCTGCGCTTTACTCTCTCCGCTCTCTCTCTCTACCAGCTGCGTGCACTTCGCGTGCGTTCGCTTCTACTCACACCGCGCGCGCATGCGCAACTCTCACCGTTAATAACACCGTTAATAACGATCCGCGATGCTCCGCATCACCCCATGGTTCCCCTCGGGAAGATGTTTAACTGCTCTTTTGCTGCGCGTATGCTGCAGCTTGGAGGTCTGCCAGCCCCGCAACGCGAGCTATGTGCTTGCCGCCGCGCAATCCGACCGCGGGAGAAGCGATGGGAGGACATGCTTTGTTCGCTATATCGAGTGTCCCGCCACGAGAGTTCGATACAGAAAAACAACGCTCGTATACCATTACATGCGATTTTCAAAGGGATGTCTGGACTGTTCGATATAAACGATAATTTTAAATACCCGGATGTGATATAACCGGGCTCGACTGTAGCAACCCTGGGACGTAGGAACCTTACAATATTTTGCCACCAAGGGGAGAGGCACAACGGCGCATGCGCGTCAATTCTCCTGCAAGAACGGCGGTCGCTTCCCGCAATAAAATGGGTACCATTGAGATTCCCGCGATTGCTAGCAACCTGCACGCTTCCCCGTGCCCCGTTCGGCAGCACCATGAGTTGCAGAGTGAATTTTACGGGTGTGAAATGCGGGACAGTTTGAAGATTTGGGAATTTCTCGTGGGACGCCGGACACGAGTCCTCAATGCAGGACAGTCTTGCGAGTCGCAGGACGGGTGGTCACCCTACGCCCAGTGGAAGCATAATCCATCAGAAGTCGGCTTCACTTTGCTCCATTCGGAAAGGGGATTTTAGATGCCGTTTGGCGTGGTTTCAAAGCTGATGACATCAGTTCGCTTTATGGAACAATTAATGTTTTTGCATAAAAAAAAAAAAAAAAAAAAAAAAAAAACTCGCGAGACATTAGGAGTGTTCTGGCAAAAAGCAGTCCTAGTCAGAGGAAATATTTCCAGAAATCGGTGTTTTTCGGTTTTAACCTGCTTCATATTTTTGACACCAACAGTTGTTTATTGTGGTGTGTATTGGTTTTAACCAATTTTGTATTTTTGACAGCAATGTTTTGTTTTTTTGTCAGCGTTACCGATTTAACAGATTCTGTCTTTTTGACACCAGCGGATGTTTATCAGTACTTTTCGTTTAAAACTGGAAAGTTTACGGCCCAATGACAAGAACACAGTACTGGAGCTTCTACTTCACCTATACCGTAGGCCAGCACGGGACGTATATTGAACGTGAATTGCTGCTTCAGCGTTACAGTGAGAACACGGTGATATCACAGGTTTGCATTCTCACGGGTGTCGTCTTGTCCGCTCTTTTATTACTCCAAGTCTCAGGGTTTAGATTATGATGCTAACTCGACCGAAAGCCAAAGCTGCGGTCTGCGTAAACCAATCGCAGTGCCGGAGCGAGGCACGTGACAATGTACCGTCGGAGCGTACTAGCACCTCTTGTGTAGAGTTATCACGTGTTTTGCTCCGTCGCTCCGATTGGTCGAAGGCTTGACGTGACATTATGGTATGCTCCATGGCAATCTCTGTATTGTCAGAAACTTCAAATAAACAAACAAACAATAAACAAACATTATGGTATGGAACCCATCTCTTTGCCTTTGACGTGCAGTGTCTGCTGTCAACGAAAACATGGATAATGTTCAGGAGACTTGTAGATTCAGAGACGGACACGAATGAGGGTACACGAGAGAGTCAATGATAACGCGTTTGTCGAGCATAGACCGACTTTTGTGTAGACGTTTACACCCGTCGATCTTAAACCCTGTTCACAACGAGTCTACCGTCATCAGGTGCCACGAACATTTAAACTTGGTCCGACGTCACCTCGACTGAAAACGAGATGGCAGTGCGGACAAGAGACTTATTCCAAAACTCGAAGCATCTCGTTGCAGCGTAATGCCACGTTATGCATTGTGGGAATCGGTAAGAAGCAAAATTCGTACGCGCTCCGGTCCCAGCCCATAGGTTCCCAGAATGCAACGTGTGCCATGACAAATTTATGGAAGTATGAAAGTAGTCTATCGTGCGAATTTAAATAAATGCCATCATTGCCATCGTGCCAACCAGAGGAGACGGGAGAGAAGGGTAGCGAAGGAAGGGAGGGCGAAAGACGACGGACCTTTGGGCACGCTTTTTGACAGGCACACCTACCCATAGCATTGAAGTTTACAAGCACCCCTTTCTAGTCCAAACCATCGAAGACTGGAACAATTTGCCACACAGTGGTTTTATGGGCGTTTCCTTTGTAGAGGCAGTTTAAGGAAAATCATATTTGTTTTCTGGTGTATTATCAATTGTGCACTCTGTTTATCGGAACACGCCCAAACGAATTCGTCTATGAAACGCTGTTCGATGGACCGACTGCCACCGAGATTTCGCAACAGACGAGTGGCAAGATTACAGCAATGTCTTTATTACTGCACAATGCACAATGTGCGAGGGTTATTTACAGTTACGCTGGAACCGAATGTTGTGTGGACATACAAAACCTGTACACTGTGGCACTTCGTAGAGAAGTCCTTGCCTCGTCACATTCGCTACGCTCCAACAGAGCCACTGGGTTGTTCTATGCACTCAAGTAAGTGCGATCCTACGAGGAAGAAAAAATCAATTTTCGTCTCGGACGGAACAGCTGCGGCGTAAGAAAAAACAGACCGGCTGAATAACTCTTACGGTTCCGGTCGGACACGCAAGTCGAAATGCACTCGAAAACACCAAACCGCGCGGCTGCCCAAATCGCAACTCGCGACTAAAAGAATACTTTGCCCAGATTACGGCACTTCCGCACTTAACTACGGAAGAAAAATTCCCCTCACTGGGTGTGCGTGCACTATGCAAAGAAAACACGCTGTTTGGTTTAGTTTCGGATAAACTCCTTCGATGTAGGCACTGTCACCTTAGGCACTTTGTCACGGAGGGTTCTTGAGAGCAGATCTCTCTCATCGTAAGAGAAAAAAAAAAAATGCTGCAGGTTAAGTTGGGCGGCACAAGCTTTTCTCGCATATTCCTCCACTCTTCCAACTAACGCTGGAGACAGGGCGAGAGACGAGCCTCCTCTCCGGCATTTGCTCTGCTCTAGAAGCAAGAATGGAATGCTTTATGGAAGGGGCCAGCCCCACTTATCTTGAAGCCGGGTATAGCACTGAAAGCTACAGAAGGTAAGGAAGAAGAATACTACGACCCTCCCGTTGTTGAACGCAGTAATGCTGCGGAAACGTTCGCGCACCATTTGCCGCTTCGAAGCATCCTAGGTGCGACACTAGGGACGTGCAAAGCAAGGCTCGAGTAGCGTGTGATCACCCGAGACTCCCACGGTAAAAAGGCAGACCATGGTGTCTAGTCTCCCCTTGCACCGTGTGAGTGCACCGTGCGAGCTGGCAGTAGGCGATTCAGTTTGAATCGCCTTTCGGACATCTCCAAATAATACCTTAGAACGACGGAGGAATCACAAAGCGGGAAGAACGAGGTCCCGAAATACCTTCACGGGAAGAACGCACTCCCCGTGCGAGTGCTAGCAGATGCACTGGAATGCTTCTTGACTTTCTGCAGTCTAAGCAGGGCCTCTTTAGGTCACTCCACATAAACCCTGACTAGCTATGTGCATAAAACACATATCCATAAAAAAAAAAAAAAATGTGCATACATGATCCTCTAACAAGAAAAATTAGAACAGAAAAAAAAGTTCCTGAATCCTTTGTTAGTTTCTATGGTAACGATGCGACTAATATAGTTTTCTTTACAACCTAGATAGATGTGTATATATAATATATATATAAGAAAAATACTATTGTACCTTCCTGAGGTGCAAACAGACATACAGGCAGGCAAGGGTCATCGAGATGTTGAATCATCGATGGTAATCATCGTGGCGTAATAATAATTATGAAAAGAAGAGTCGACAAGAGGATGCAAGGGCACCAAATCCTGCATTACCGGACTAAGCAAAGAGATGTTTAAATTGTGGCAGAATAAAAGTTGTCGGTTAATGTGCTGGTAGCTTGACAGCATCAAGAAGGCAACAGTCTTTGCCATCTTGTCCACCCACGATTTTTGGCACTGAGGCAAATGAGACCTATAGGTTCCTTGTCATCGACAAAAGATGGTAGAAGAAACCTTAGGCACATGTCGCAATCTATAATTCACAAACATAACCCAGAGCTTGGCAATCTCTGACCACTGTAGAGTTTCCACTATTAAATGCATGACCAAACAATCTGGCATTTGGAGGTGCAAACAACAGCAACGGCGGTAGAGTCGCTATGCCTATTATCTTGCTTCCAAAGAGACAAGAAAATGAAGTAAATGCAGCAGTCGATTTCGTAAAGGCACGGTTTTGCATCGACAAGAGGTTTTCTTATGCTCATTGGTCCTCGAACTCCGAAACTGCTTTGCTCATGTCAAAGATGCTCGAAAATGAACATCAGACTTAAAACCTCCGACGAGCTACAATAAGGCACATCGGCCGACGTTAGTGGCATTGCAAAAATGCTTGGCTCGCTGCCTCAATAGCTGTCAAAGTACTTCCACAACAGTGTCCCACCACAGGAACATCAGCAGCACATTTAGAATGAAAACATGAACAGCCTATGCAACAAACTTAAAAACGTGAAACTAGAGAACAACTGTGCAAGTGGTCAACACTGAAACAGAGCTTGTCCCTATTTCTATGAGCGACATTCAGCCTCGTTTGATTATCATACATAGAAAGCCGAGCTACGGTGTGCTAGATAATCCAGATGAGGCTTAATCCAGGCTCGGTCAAACATCTGAAAATCCGAACCGGAGTGGTTATAATCAAGCTAAGCCATCGAGACTGACCTAACGAACTGGATTATGTATGACATTGCTCGAGTAGCATCGGAACTCAACCACATTGCCGACGCAAGGTAGAGTTCTGGTCAAGCTGCAAGTATGGACCATAGTTGCTTTGCATAAAATAAAACGAGATAGATCAGGCACGCAAATAACATGCATTCGTACGTGTACAAGCTGGGTCAGAGTTAAATGCCTCAGACACGGCCAACTGTGTGGCTTCCAAATACATAACGGGGGAAATGTCGGGCCCCTCCTATTGTACTATTATAACGCCCCATCCTGCGTTCGTGTAAATCACACGTGCCCGGCTCGTAGGAAGAAATGCACGTTCTACGTCGGCAATCGACCCCAGTAAACAAAACGAAGCGGCACAACGAAACCATTTGTCGGGCAATGAAGCTAGCAGTCAACATTCTCCGACAACAAACACCCGTTTCACGCAAGTAAAACACAGACGAAATATCGACACAACGCCGGCAAAATGTTGGCGAAACGTCGGCGTTCCGATGCCCTATGACTTTGCGCCGTTGGTTGTGTTGGCGGGCCGACTCTGATGCAGTGGCGGAAACTCTTCGGTGACCGAGCTGTCCGACAGCAGCCCCTGCTCCACCCGGCGTTCCCAGTAAGAGGTGCGCTGCAAGATGCCGCGTGCCGAGCCGGCCTTGGAGCGTCGCTTGCCGCCACCCGAGGGGGACCTGGCGGTGGCTATGACGCCACCCCCTCCCAAGGACGAGCTGGTCGAACTCTCGTCCGAGGCGTAGCCAGGGGTCAGGTCGCCACCTGCAGAGAAACGGAGGTCCCTTCCGTCGGGCAGGCGGCTCGCAATGTCGCGCGGACGACGAGGAATTGAGCGAGTGATCACGGCCCTATCGATCGTTCCATCAATTTGTAAAATGGTGCAGTCCCTTAGACAATCAGTTTAGCCTAGAGCATTGCACGGGCCAGCGTTTGTTTTGAATGCATGCCCAAAGAGGTTTCCTGGCCTTGATCTGACAGTTTCTAAAACCTAAAAGTGGGCCTACTTAAATTGCTTTTCGCGCGCGATATCGGCTCCTGTAACACACGAGTTGTTCCCGCATTTATGTTGCACCGTGAAACGCAAATCTGCTGCGTCTGCAACCCGCGGTATCCTTTCCCATGACACAGGAGTTCGTAGCGAATTCTCGCGCGTTTATTGCATCGTGAAACGCGAATTCAAGGTGTTTGCGACTCACGGCATCAGTTCCCGTGTTTTGTGGTTTGCAGCCGGTTCTAGGGTGTTTATCATTAATTTTTGATAAAGTTTTGCTGTTGCATCCCCAAAAGTAGCACACCCTATATTTTTCACCATTTATCTCTTCATTTTGGGTGGGCGTTGTTTCTGAACTTCACGGTAATATCGCCGATGCACCTTCGAACGGCTACATCAACATAAAAGGCCCTGGGTACGCTAACCTATCTTTGCTGGCATATCATCCTACACCATCTCCAAGGCTTTCTTTTTTTCCTCCTTTTGAAAACGAGAACTATTGTGTTATTTACTGCCACTAGATTGCCCTGTACTTCTTTCCAGCTGTCGCACTATCCTGATGGAGACCTTGAATTGTTTTTTTTGTTTTTTTTATCGTCTTGTGGGTTTTTTAAGCTAGTGACAACTTTTTATTGTTAGCCGTTTTCTAAAGGCGTCGAAGAGAGCTTTCAATTCTTTTGTTTCCTTCGAACCTGAACGACCGAAGCGGTAACATTTTATTTTCAACATTTTGGAAACTGTGCCACCAGTGATCAAGCCCATGCAGCACTCTAGTGTAGACACTTGAAAAGTATCCGAGAGCAGCACAATCGGTCTACCAACCACTTGAGGGGCCAGAAATCAATCAATCCCTTCAAAGTGCTTGAGGAGGGGTCAAGAGCAGCCCAAGAGGATAACTCCCCATTGGCTTGGCGATCCATCGATCCACTGCAAGCCTTACGAAGGAGCAAAGTGAATCGCAATGTGCGAGTCCCCAGCTCACCCACTGCGTCCGTGCCGGCCTGCTGGTGCTGCTGTGGCGTCTGCTGGAAGAGCTGTTCGCACGCGGCCGCGTTGGGGGCAGATGTCGGCGAGGGCGGGGACGCCACGACCGTCCGGTTCATCTGCCGCGGAACCAAGTTCCTCTGGGCGTGTTCCCGGAACTCCCGGGGCAGGCTACGCGCCGTCAGGCTGTGCACCTACGAGGCCGTGCACAACTGCCCGTCACCACCGTGCGAGCGGCACGTGCGAGCTAAACCGAGGGGAGGGGTGCAAAGACACCCCTGTACACGGAAAAGTGGGTGCAACTACACGCATTCTTCCTGCATCTCCGTCTACCAACACCCAATCCTATGCTGCTCTCTTCGGGATTCGGCTTTCCTTACAAACACGAAAACAGCGGCGTAGGTGTCGGCGTCCGTGTTTCTCTGCGATGGCACATGCCCGACGGGAGAAAACTGTCGTGGGGCACGCAAGCCCACACTGCGCAGTGCCGACGGATCAACTCGGCTTAAAACGTCAAACTACTGGCAACGACCGTCTGGTTACGGTGCATTGGTGCAGAAAAAAGAAGGTTATTTATAGTTTATAAACCTTTCGTTTTAATTATGCCTTAAAAAAAATAAAAAAAAAAGCTAGATTTTGAAACAGTTGAATACCTCGCTGCGTCTGCTGCACAAAAACCGACTCGGACGTTCTGGAGGGCGCGCCCGGCTTTCGTGCGCAACTCCGATTGGTCTTCGCCTGGCAAGCCACCTCCGGCATCGACGCTGAGATCCGGCAGAGACGCGGATAAGACGCGAGAAAAACGCCTAGTGTAGTTGAGGTTCTGGCATGAGCGTCTATTGTCCATGCATATAAATGTTTTTGCACAACATACTCTCACCGTCCCATCTATCAGCTTCCGATCGAACGAACATAGGTGGTGCAGCTATCCAATGTACAGTTTGTACGGCCACCGAGAACGCTATTATGCCGCCCCAGTTCTCGCTTTTATAGGCAAGCGAAGAAGGTGCAACCTGCGCTATTATTGGACGACAGGCCGAGGTAATGCGTTAGTCGCTACTTTTACGTGTACGGGAGAGTTGGGTGCTGGCAGTGCTTTCCTAGGTGCGAATGAGACGGTGCAGAAGCGGGTGCAAGGCGCGAGTGCATAAAATAAAACAAGTTAAACCTTCCTTATCAACCCTTTGACGGTCGTCGCTGTGCGTGTACGGCGGCGATTACACATTTGAAAGTGCCTGCCTAAACGCGAAACTGCATGCGCCGCGGGAGGTGTTGCTATCTTGCTAAGTCTCTTTTACAAACTATTAACGCCATACTTGCGCGGGAGATGGTCACCTTGCATGTGTCGGCTGCTAAGGCGTAGTAGAGAATGAGAGCTTCCCATCCGATAGAAAAAGTCGGTAAAAGTCTGAAACCGCTGGAATTTCGCGGAAACGGATGCGCCAGAATGAAACCGAATGAAAGAAAGGTGAGAACTTTTTGTCTTCCAATATTTTCGTTTGATGCTTCTAAAACTCTTGCACACTAGATAATTAGGAAAAAAAAACCTGAGCAACGACCCTTTCTTCATACTATTCCTTTTGAAACAAAACCCGATTACTACAAAAAAACTTTCGGAGAAAAAAAAAAAAAAATCTTGACCGTCAAAGGTTTTTTTTTTTTTATCTGCAACACCTCCTAAAATCGCCCACTGCAGCACAAGCACCAAAGATGCAAGCAACCAAGTGCAAGGACAAAGTGAAAACTGGTGCATTTCAGGAAGAATCCCCTAAACAGCACAACCAAAATGTGAAACACATTCCACAACTTCTTCATTTCTCGCGAGTCAAACTCTCACTCCCAATGCCCCCCTGGCATGCACCAAAAAAAGCGAGACAAGCACAAATGAAGCGTGGCTACGAACCAGACTGTTTCTGGGAAGCGGCTGAAAAAAGTAAGGGAATTTATTTGGTTAATCGAGCCTGCTGCCTTGATTAAGCGTGCTTCTAGAAAAAAAGCTTGTTGCTGCTACTAAAATTGGGCAAGACTGACCTGTGGCCTTTCGGAAGGCTCGGCGGGCCCCTGAAATTTTAAAGCCAAACGGAGGTTGCAGTTTAGGTATGGAAAACAAAAAAAAATAGGAAGAGCAACGGACAAGATAAATGTCACCCTTTGCCTTAAAAGTTACACTTTTGCCAACACAGACAGCCGAGCTGTTTACCTCCTCAAGCTACAAACTCAAAAATATGCTTTTAGTTATTCAACTATGCAGTGGACAGTTCTGCAGGTAAATAAGCCAGCGTAAAAAGTGTACCGATGCTGAATATTATACCCGCGAGACGTTTAGGAACACCTACAGAAGAAAGGAACTGAGCCCTGCACAGGCTGAACACGATGCTAAAAAAACTAGACATAAGGATAGAGTGATCGCTTTTTCAGAAGACGAATGCGTGAGTCCGCCCAGAGAAGACTACTCTCCCATTGAGCACAACTACGCTGCAGGAAAGGGTCATCCGCAAAACAAAAAAAAAACGTGCTCGACGGACCTTAACTATGCTCGGTCATTGGAGATCTCGATAATACTCCAAATTACTAGAAACTAGAGAATTGTGTCTAAAATCACCTCCAGTTAACAGAGTTGAGCATTGATTATTATGTCATAATCAATAGACCACTTGCTAAACCCCCGAGCGCCCCCGCCCGCACTTGAGGAATCATGGGAATCGTGTTCCTTCAGTTCCCTAGTGATCAGTAATTTCGACCAATTCCATGCTTACACACTTTTGAGTGCAATCTGGAGTCATCCTGAATAAGCAACATATATATTGCAGATACCTGCCATATCACTTTTAAAATTTCTCGTCAATTTAAGCATTTTTGACACTGTACGTGCCATCCACCCTTGAACCTGCCCGAGCTGCAGAAATTTCTTTCAATATTATCATTCTCGTGCAGCTTCAAAGACGCTGATATTAACTTAGAAATGCTAAAAATACTATAAACAGCCCAGCTGTCTCCGAGCTAAATCCTGGTTTTGTTGTTGGGAATTCTCGGCTCCTTAAAGGCCGACCGACAAGCAGAGAAGGAAACTCTCCCTCAATTCCTCCGTTCTATTTGAGAAAGAGGGAGACCCTCCTTCTCTCTACCGGGAATAGTTCAAAGATCCGCTCCTGTGTGAAGAGGAGGGGAAAAGTTGGCGAGAGTGTATGAAGAGAAGGAAACTGGGAACCGGTTTTTTCCCCAGTAAAAGACGATTCTGTAGGTCGGACTTTAAGCAGTTGCTGCTCAAACAACTATCACGAGAATGATAATATTGTAATGATATCTGCAGCTTAGCCAAGTTAGATTGTGGATTGCATGCACAGTATAAAAAATCTTGACATTGACGAGAAATTTTAGAAGTGATATGACAGGTCCTTGGATTCTACACGACACCCGTTTAAGGGGGGAGGTGGGGAATAAATATGAAATTTCTTATTTCTAGAGATATCTGAACGAAATTTACAGAATGTGTTTATAGCACAGATATAAGAGTAACTGCAAAGTTTCATGGAACTGTGCATATTATTTCTCAAGTTACAAATATTTATCAAAATCGTCCATATGCATTCCTTATCCCAGGTCTGGAGAATATGAAAAAGGTAGTAGCGGCGTAAACTTTGTTATGACGACCCCTGGATAGGTTCCCCAGGGCATAACAAAGCCCTTTTTTTAAATTTCTTTGTTGAAAATTTTTAACGCAACTTTGAATTTTGTGTAGTCAATGAAACCCACATTCACCAAATTTCATTTTTTTATTATAAATTTTTAGTAAAGTTTTCTAAAGAAAGGGCTCTGTTATGCCCTCACAAAGTTATTAGAGAACAGAATAAAAAAGACAGCACAAAAATCCATTCATCAGTTCCTGAGATATCGCTGGGACGAGCAGCCACGACAGTGAAAAAATCCATTCTGAGAAAACAGCACTTGAAAGTTGCACGCAGATTTTCAGCTTTAGAATGACCCTGCAGAATAGTCAAAAGTGTTCTTGCGCACTTTCTTCTTGTTCCGCCTTTCCAAATTCTCTTGATGTTGTTTGCTGGCCTTATGCAGACGTAGGGCATCTTTCTCGGCAGCTCGTTGGAGGGCTAGATGGGTCGGCTGAAGTCCCACTGCAACCGATATTTCTGCAGTTGCCTTGTAGCAGCCGGCGTTGAACCTCAACACCGCTTCATGCAGTGCAGTTTGCTGGCATAGCTCCAAGTTCGGCTTGAGCAATATCACAATGTCTAGCTTCTGCTTCGATCTCCTCACGTGTCGGAAAATGCGTCCGCAGATGGGTGCTAGAAGACGCGCTCCTACTTGTCGCGGCAGGCGGAAGACGGGCGCTGGGACCCGCGATCTCGGGAGGAACCACAACGGTCGGCATGCTCGGTACTCCAGGCGTGAGCGGGACGATGCGTTCTTCCTCGACGACAGCCGATGGCACAGAAAATCCATCACTGGAAGTGTTGACGCGATCATCATTGACGGCACGCCGTGCAGAAACTTCCAACTTCGCCATCCGCACTAACTTCATGGACCGCTTCCGCGCGCCAAACGCGTGCACCGTCTTGTACTTCGAACCCCGCATCGTGTGCGACCACGAAACAGACGGGCACGCTACACGAAACTACTCAAAGAAAGTTCAGAAAACGATCGTAAAGATGGCGAAAAACGAAGTGGAGCTGACAAAGCAAGAGCGTGTGCAAGCAGACCACTACCAAAAGCAGACGACGCAAGCGGCAACAGCAGGAGAAACGGAGGAGGAGAGCGCTCCGCGCGCGGAGAAATCGCGTCCCAGCCAATAGCAGTCGCGCGCTCCCCCGCACGCTCCTCGAGCGCGCGCTCTGTCCAATCGCGTTCTTGCGATTGCGACATGGAAGAACGGCGACCACGCCGTAACCACGCGGCCGACGCCATTTTGGGAGCTGGCAAAAAAAAGAGAAAGAATTCACGTTCAAAACAAGACTAAGATGGCGGCCGTCGGCCCAACGCGTCGAAAATGGCGAGTGCGCGAAGTTGGGGTTGATTTTGACGTTTGACCGTCACTTGGATGCTATTCAGGCCTCGTAAATAATTGTTTTTAAATATTTCCCTGTTGTATTTGGTGCTGATAATTACAGAGAAGGTAGTTTATGAGATATACAACCGAAAAATAAGGTTTTCCAAAAATCGACTTTTTCGCGATTTTCCGGTTTTCAAAGCCCGCGTCCCCCCTTAAGGCAACTCCGAGTTACACTCAAAAGTGTGTAAGGCTGCAAGCATAGAACTGGTCAATATTACCGATCACTAGGGAACTGAAGGAACACCGTTCCCATGATTCCTAGAGTGCGGACTCGGGCGATTTAGCAAGTGGTCTATTGATTTGAAGGTTAAATGTCTGCACACACCTACTTGTAATTGTAAATCCCACTTGATGTTTCTTTAACTGAAAGGCACTGCATCCTTCCCGCCTTAGTTCTGCAACACTCTTTATGGAAAACAGTTTTCTTTATTTTTTTTTTTTTAGAGTGATGAACAATTAAAATATGATAAACCCAGCAATCGGTCAGGGCCACGATGTATATAATTAAGTCTTGCCAGTAAAGTGTGACTGTTCATCCTACAGTAAGAGCAGTGGGTACACTGTGTCCATCCTTCACCTTTTTGATTGACCAGGGCTCCTGGGGCTTGGGTGGGGCCAGGCGGTCCTTGCCAGAGGAAGCCTCCTGCCCGTTGAGCCCCTTCTCTTCCAGGATCACCTTCTTGTCTGGAAAGGCACTCTGCGAGACAGATTGCAGACAAGCCCACTGAAACTCCTTCCTCGTGCATCAGCAGCCAAGACGTCGTACCGTCAATAAGCCAAGGATTGCGACGCCATTTTTGTGGCAGTGCAGTTCAAACCAAGATTACGCTTTGAAGTTTTGAAAAAAGAAAAATGGTTACGCTCATTGGGCTATTATTTCAAATTCCTTAGGCCTAAGAAAGGGGGCAGAAAGCAGAAGTCCACATGCCACCTGAGCGTGTGGGGGAACGCAACAAAGTCGAGATACGGCCGAGCTGAGCCGAGACAATCCAAGCACGCTATTCAGAATGTTGAAAATTTCCACGGGACCCAGTAGTAATTTCAGAAACGATGTCAATCGACTCTTCAGAGCTGGACAAAACCGGCAAATTCACTATTCAAGCCCTTCTGCAGGGGAGGAAGCAGAAGCGCTTTATCGAGCCGACGGCAACAGCAAGGGGCAATTGAAGTTGCAAAGAGCACAGCAAAAGAGAAAGAATATGTAATTGTAGAATTGCCCTGAGAATGCGGTGACGACAGGCTTCTTTCCTTCTTCCTGTAGTTTTTCTATCGTCACCGCAGCCTCGGGTAAATCTACAATTATGAACTTGCACCAGCTCACTTGCACCATCACGTTTTGTTCGTGTTTGAGAAGGATGGGCATCAAATTTCTGGGCTGCTTTTTTCTTTTTACTCTATACGATTTGTACAGCACAATGTATCATGGAGGCAACATAAAATATGCCGAGAGGCTATATGTAGGTAACCTATTATTGCACTCACTCTATTTAGTGATTTGGGTTTCAAATTCTAAAACTGGGTTCAGACAATAAAAAAAAAAAAAATTTAACCTGAAATCTGCAGTTTTAGTTTCTTAATTAAGGAAGCGAGGGCGCAAGACTTAAGGGAAAGATTAGCAAAAGGCATCCGGCAGGCAAGCACATATTTAAGAGGGCAAGAAAAGGGAACTACTTAAGAAACCAAAGTCCAATTTAAATTTAAATGCCAGGAGCATTCAGAGCCGACGGGTGCAACCTTCCACCGAAGGAGCGACAATCCGAGCTGCATCGAGCCGCATTCTCGGCGGCACTTTGCTGTAGACCAGTTCGGGGACCGCCTTGGCTGCTATTGCGGGGCAAAGCAAGGAAACAAGAGGCGAGGAACAGCCGGCACGGCTGTTCCTCGCCATGCCAGGAAAAGAAAGAACGAGAGGGAGAGGTGGCCAGGAGAAACGGAGAGGCACCTGGAACTCCTGCCCCGGACTGTGGAGGCTGCACTCCAGGTTGGAGGAGGACGACCCGTCCGGGGCGGACTGCCCGGACTGGCTGGCAAACTTGAGCACCAACTCTCGCACCGAGGGCAGAGACGGACTCCGCGGGTCGCCCTCGCAGCCACCGCTGCCGTCGTCTTCGGCGTCCGAGCTCGCGCGCAGCTTCCCCAAACCGTTGCGGTTCTCCGGGGACATTGCGCCGCCGGGACTCGCGCGGCAGGACTGACCGGCCGAAAGAAAAGGAGAGACGTAAGGGAAGGAAAGGAGAAGACGAAAGACGTTGGACGCTCATGCCTCATGAAAAGGGGGCTGTCTGCGGGCGGCGTGAGAGCTCCGATGGCCATACTGCGCCAAAGTAGGTAAACTAGAAAACACTAGAAAAGGTACGCTAAGAATGAAACTGAAATATAGTTTGCGTAAAATTCGTATATTTTCTACAAGAGCTAAGTGAAGGTCACGCGATACGAGAGGCTGCTCCCCTAGAAATAAGGCAGGGTGAAATGGAATGTGGGGCTCGGAAGACTCTGGGAAATGTCGTCGTAGGAGACCGAGGCAAAAAAAGAGAATGTGCAAAACAGACAAAATTTCTTTGCAGTGCTCACACACTGGTGGTTCCTCACCCATAAGATGGTACTGATGTGCGGCCAGCTCTCGTGCAGCTCAGAACTCGGTGAAAACCATTTTGATTATGGGAGGATTCCCAGAGACCAAGGTGAGGAGGCCCGGCCAACACAGTGTTCCACGGAACCGAGCCACCTGTCTCTGTCCAGAGTCTTCCACCGTTAGCATTTTCCCGTCCCCAGAAAGGAACCAAAGATTTTCGAACCACGAACGAAAGTATAAAGGTGGTGCGCATAAGGAACAAGAGCTTCCCACTACTTCGTTACGAGAGAAATGAACCAGAACGACTCGAAGAACGGAAGTATGCCTGCGCAATGGCAACGGTGTTCACGCAAAATCGAGAGGTCGGGGGGAAGGGGGGTGGCTGAATTTTACTCTCCGAAACCTCGAGCTCGGAGTTTCAGAAACCCCGCAGCACGCAGAATGTCTGTGCGTCAACGAGTTTGCATCAAAACGTTTCTTACGTCAAGCAGAATGCTAGCTGCGCCGACGCCTCCGCCAGATCGATGCTCGCTATACCGGTGCCGGCATTTATACCGTCATGTGGCGTTTGCCTACTGTTAAGCCTTCCCGAAAATAGGTATGTTCATTACTCAGAAACCGTTCGGCAGAAATTGGACACATTGAAACGGAGCGCGAGCGGGATGCGGGTGCGCGCCCAAATGACGTCTCGACGGTCGAGATTGGTCGACAGCCCCGGTTCTGCCAAACGGTGCAGCAGAGGGCGCTTGGGTACAAAAAAGCGAGCCTCACCGTTGATTCTGGAGCGACCAGTTGGGGTGAGCTCGTGGCTAGAGGACTGAAGGAGCGCTGGTGCGCCGTCGGAGCAAAGGCCTTTCTTGTGCTCGAGTACACCTGAACGAGACAAGAGCACGGAAGGAACGTTGCAACATCTCTACGGGCACTCAAATGTCCAAAGTAGGAAGTCTAAGAGAAAGCCAGAGGGGAACTGCAGTGTTGGGTAAAGTAAAGTACAAAGTAAATTAGAGGCTACATACTTCAAGTAAAGTAGTAAGTATACCGGGCACAATATACAATGTACTTTCAAAGTACTTTTTAACACAATCTTTCATGATGCCCTTTTAATCACCTATATATTTTTGCTTTTTTTTATATATATCTGGTTTGCATTGTTTAGGGGTAATCGGGGGTGCATCAGTTGCTTTCAGAAATGGCGGCGAATATTGGATAAAGTAAAGTGGCCACACAGTATCTGTTTTACTCCCGCTGACAACCTCTTTAACACAATCAACTTATAAGGCACTTATTTGCATAGGTCTTATAGCCGCAATTACTTCCCTCAGTGAAATGACCGGAAGACATCTCGAAAGATGAAGTCTGCATTCTCAAATGACGCAATGGCATTTTTGTTAGAGGTTGACAAAACATTGTTGCGATACAATTTTAACAAGACCAACTTTGCAAAAATGTACAGCGTCGCCCCAGAAAAACTATTTTTTAACCACGAAACTAAACTACCGCAATATCCCAACTCGAAGTCAACCCTCCCGACGACACAATGTGCAAATGCAAAAAGCGAAAAATAAAAGCCAGAAAAAACCCCTTTTTCAGCAAGTATTTAGCACAACCACACTGAAGATACGCGAGTTGTTTTCCTGCCTGGAGCACTTGTTAAACAGCATTTTACTGTCGTGCAAAATAAACTCCCATTCGCACAATGAAAAGCGCTGACGGGGTTTTGCGCTCCATCTGCCCTGATCGGCAGATGGCGCCACAAGTGCAGCTCGATTGTCGGCATCGGCCATTAAAAATGTCGATGGGTGGCATTCTAATTTTGCACACTATAGAACCTGCACCTAGAAATTTCGAGAGGCAAATTCCAAAGCTAAGACAAACTTTCGGCAAAAGTCCGAGCTTGTCACTCGCAGACGCCGATTTTTCCAACGCGTCTTATGCCTAGCCACATATTTTGTAACACCTCACACGTGGGTTCAACCGATACCACCTAGCTAGAGCTCGTCGATGGTTGCCGCAAGGCGGCAGATGCGTCCGTGTCGACGTTGCTGCGAGACACTGCAAGATGTGTTAGCAAAGATGCCGACGCGAGCTAGGCACTGCTGCGTCGATCCATTAGCAACGACAATTCGAGCGGCAGGATCTCATCGTTTTCCAGGCGGTTTTGGTTTAACTGAGCAACTCAGCAACTTGTGCCGTCACCTGTTCCTCGAAGGAGTGCAGCGTCTCCTCCAGGTCCCTGCCCTCCGCTACGGGGGCGTCGACGGCCGGCGGTGTCTTGCGCGCCAAAGGGGTCTCTGCCTTGGCTACCAGCCTGGGGTTGTTGACATAGTAGTCACGGAGGTACGACGACGGGAGCGGGGGCGGCGAGAACGCGTCGTCTTCGCCCTCCTCGTCGGCGGCGCCTTCGAAGGAGGACGCCTTGGTCGTCGCCAGGGACTCCCGCCTGCTCTGGCTGGCGCGCTTGGCCAGGTTCTCTGTGCTGTACGGGTTGTTCCGCAGCGGAACCGCGTTGAGCCACTTGGCGTGCTCCCGCTCCGCAATGGACCCTGGCAGGTCGGAAAGGGGTGTCAAAGGGAGGCCAAATTGCTTGGAAAACTAGCGTCAAGAGGACATAGTCACTTTATGCAGACAATTTAAAAAAAAAAAAATGCTTCCACTGTAATCTCATTTGTATTTGTTGTTGCTGTTGTTTCCTTGTCTAGTTTTCTTTTTTTTAGATAACACAATTAACTTTTACTGACATTTATTTATAGTAACTTTAACCAAACAGTTGTGCCGTTGTTTACTTTTCTGTTTTGCTTCGATTTGTTTTGTAGAATTAATGTTAATATGTAACTATCCTGAACTGCTTAACTTTAGGGGGCAGGGGCCTTTGTCAGGTACCACTTGTCTATCTCTGTCGCCTACACGGTGACAGTGATGGAAGAGGCCTTTTATCTTTTGTAGCAGGTTTTGTAGCAGGCAAAATATTGCTTTAAAGCAGCCACTGATGCTTTTAGAGCAGATGCCAACATCTGTGAGCGTGTCACAGGAAAATAAAAACAAATGATTGCGTCGATCGCTAAATGTGTTTACCTTAGATGACGACTGAAACTTCCTCTTTAATCTCCTCATCCAGTTCCAGCATCTGGTTTGAGCGGTAGTCCCGAAATGATCAATCTTTGATACCGATTTTAATAGAGAAACCAACTACCATGCATGAATGTACATTTTTTTTAGGATGCTTGAAGAAAATAGATTGAGTTATGACCATAAGGTAGGCTATGGCAGGAAGCAGTTTAGCGCCCCTTCAGAAGAAGCATAAATGAACATTTCAGATGAGACAAAGCCTCTCCCCCTCCCCATTTTACACTCAGTAGTTTGTTTGGCCTGGAAATATAATCCCTGTAAAATTCCAGAAAAAGACAGCATATCCGCTAAACAATACGCCTCCCAAGTTTTAGGAACCTATCAACTCAAGATTCTAATACCATAAACTGCAAAAACAACCAACCAGCAATATTATGAAAACCTACCGTGGTGCATTAAAACCGACACCGCGGCACAATCTTGTTTAGTGTTCTGCAGGTGCAAGTTGTTGACACTATTTTGCCTGTCAGGGTTGCGATATCTGTCCCTTCAATGACTAAGATGCCCTTTGAGTACAGCAAGCTAAACAAGCTTTGGCTTATTTGAAACATTTCCGCCCGCTCTGCTACCGTTGAAAATCTGCTGGACCATACAGCACTACATGAATTCTTCTGGCTCCCAACCTGCAGTCTTAACTTCTATAAACATTGACCCTCTGCCCCAAAAAAAAAAGAGAGAAAAAAAGGGACAGTTCCCTTGGCCTGCCACAAGAGAATGGACAAGATTTTTAACCATGCCGAAGAAGATTTCGCAGGTCGACGATACCTTTGCCAACTTGCATAGACTGGTGGCAGTCTACATGCTTCTCTACCAAATCCTACTGCAGACTTGGTGATCTCTCCTGTCATCCTACACTCTACCAAGGGTGCAGGGACAAACCTGGTTTCGGGGGAGCGTTGAGGACTTCCATAGACGGAATGGGCTCAGTCTTCTCGTCAACGCTCTTGAAGGAAGATGTCTCGTCGTACACCAAAGAGCCATCCGTGCTTGCCGGCTGAAATTCATCGAGACAATGTTAGGCCACGTCTAGACATGCCTTTGGAGTTCGAGATATTGCCCGATTTGGCAAATTTTAGACAGGTTTAATTTTCCTGCCTTGTGGTTAATCACTGTCTTGATGAAACAATGTTAGGAATTGTACTCAATTATTGAGATGGGCTAAGTAGTTGGTTCAACATACTAAATAATATCAAATGCAAGAGATAGACTTGGAGATAAACAAGACAGGACAGTGCGCGCTACCCTGTCTTCATGTCCTTGTCCGTCACTGGCACTTTATACATTTAGAATGTTAGGAATTCATTAAACCTTTTTTACCGAGCCCTAGAGGCTGAGTGTGCTAACGGTAATATGAAAAAAGAAAAATGGTCTAATATCTATTAAAAATTGTGCCTTGGGTGTCTCCATTAGTAAATTGCTAACTGGAACATATTTATGATATTGTTTAGTTTTGTTGTGTTTAGTTTAATCAAAAGAGTATTTTAAGCTCGAAGGCATTGTCATTTGACCAGACTGAAGAGGAGTGATGCAGGCAAGGAGAAGCTCAACCACCCGTGCGTATTGAGAGAGAGGAGCTCAAGAGTATGGAAAATTCTGGATGATCGCCAGGATTACCAGCCCGATTGGCGGTGGTATCGCTTCGTTCTAGGGACCACTATCAAGTGTACACATGGTATGTGTTAAACTATCTGATGAAGAGCGCCGTGAACGTAAGCGTCTGGCAACCGAGAGTATCGCTACGTTTACAGTGCTAGAACATTTCACGTACGCAACACAATTGCCTAGCGATTCGCCATACGTTTTTTGCAGCGTTTTAAGCGCCAATGAGAAAGATTGCGGGAGTAAAGCTTCGGAAAGCTGCCCTTTCTATGGTTTTCGTATCATCCACAATCGCCTTCCGCCCATGTAATAGTAGCTGCTGTGAAATTGGACACTCGAGTTTCCAAACGTCGCCGTCAGTCGTCAAGAATGTAAAGGCGCTTACTGGACGGCTTAGGACAACTCCCGCCACCGTTGATGCCGGTCAGGCTCAAGCACCGAAGATACCGCAGGTTACAGTGATCGAGACCTAAATACGGGCACTAGAGCCCACTGCATGCAATTATAAGTCCCACCATTTTTTTTTTATGAACATCCAAAGCTATTTTGTTTTTACCCATGTATGGGCCACACATAAAAAAATTTAGCCCTGAATTTTTAACAAAACTAAAATGTGGCCCTTACATGCATTTAAGTGGTAGGTCCTAACTTTGAGTACTACCGTAATATCCCGAGATGCACCACCCCCGAAAGGTAACCCACTCGCACTTTGGCATGATTTGCTATGTTCTTCAAAAACACCTAAAGATAGCCCACTGCTAGCTATTGCGAAGTCCCGGCCAATGGTGACCTCAGCAGAAATGGTGTTACTCAGTCACTGTGGGAGATAAGCAAACGTTGCTAACTGGGAAGGACAGTCATCTTTGGCTCATTGCCCCCTTCACAAGTTTCACAGGTTACAAAAATCTAAAACTATCAATATTGAAACTTTTTTTTACCGCACACTGAGAATTAGTTTACTTTTTGTTTTTGTCCGATTTGCTTTCGATTTTAGGTGGGCTATCTCTCGGGACATTACGGTATGTGAAACTGAGTTGCAAGATGTCGCGAACATCACAAATGTACCACATGTTTGGCTGTCACAGGATGTCACAAAACTTCACAAGGTGTCACGTGGGTCCATAACTTGTCGTATGTCACGGGGAAGATGTATAAGGGGCTACAACATGTGACAGGGACCCAAAATGTGCCACAACAAGTTAGGTGGGAGGCTACAACATCATAAGGTGCTACAACATGTCACAATGTGTCACAGGGGCCCGAAATGCGTCGCCCAGGGACCCAAAATGCACCACAACCAGTTACAGGGAAGGGAAGAATGTGTCACAAGGTGCCACAACGTGTCACGAGGTAAGACTCTTTACCTTGCATGCCCAGTGCGGTGGCTGCAACGCCTGCCGTTCAGCCCACGTGCGCTGAATGACCAGAGGCCTGAAGCGTTGCGGCCTCTGGCACGAGCAGAGCGGTGAGAAGGGAGTCCAAACCACGGAGTGTTAGTGCGCCACCGCCACCAGAGATAGTCAAACAAACCCCCTAACAGAGACTGCCACACCCACGCCGTCAAACCTGCCGTCTGGCGGTCAGTACTGGTCGAATTGCATTAACTACACATGGGACAGAGTTAGCTTTAAAAGAAACCTTCAAGAAGCCTCACAGTAGCAGACGACATTCTACTTTCATTCATTTGGGGCCTGAAGGAGCAAATCCTCTTAGTGCACTGCCGGCTGCGACTTACGAGGCTTCCGGGAGGCACTTTGCCACGTCGTTCCAACCAGTTTCCACCAGTTTTGGAATTTGTTAAGACGGTGTTAGAAAGCTCGAGCAATTGGGGGTTAGTCTACAACAATAAAAAAGTGCAAAGGCTTCTTGAGAGCAAACATATTTAATAGGCTTAGTTCCTACTTGGAGCACACAATTCCCAAGTTTTAAACAACTAGAGAGTGTACAGCACAGAGATTAGATTTAGTAAAATGCTCAAAGCACAAATTAATCCAAATTCTTCCATAGGCTTAAGCTATCCCTTAATGAGGGTATATTAATATTGTAAAAAAAACCTTTGCACCTTTCACATGCAAGAAGTTCTAAAGATCCCAACAAACTAGGGTTCACAGGCATAAAAGCGTGCAACTTTCTTAATCTACAGAGTTAGTAGGCACAGACAACAGATAGTCTAAACAAATCAGACATTGAGTCACAGTAAACTCTATTTCAGGTAAAACTCTAAAGACCATGAAAACATTGTTCCTCTTGTCAGATGTTCTAATTGGCAGAAGGAAAGAAGACAACTTTAAAGATATTCTGCATTTATGCAGAAGGCTCCACTTATGACAGCACCACTAAATTAAAAAAATATTCTGCTATACGCACAAAGTTCAGAGAAAACATTCATAGTGCAAAGAACATGGAATGGCAGTTTCCAGACGTTAGTGTAAGGACCAGTTCACGGGGGCAGTAAGCGACCAGCCGATTCGACGGCAAAGCTCGAACGAGCTTGCAGCCTGCTGCTGTAGATATCCGAGAAATGCAATGGCCATTTGGTTGAAGATGCACGACCCACTCACTCCTTCAGTCTCCGCATTCACTGCCCTTCTTGAGGTTTCGGCCTGTGGCTTTGATCTCCGCTCCGTCACCTTGGCAACAGGTTTTGCATCGGGCCTCACCTTTAGGTCAGCTGTTAAGTCGCAAGAAAAAAAAGCCCACAAAAAATTACCTTTACATCGTGGCATTCAAGAAGATCACAGCTTAAGATCATCACAGTCACCTACCAGAGCTGCATAACAACACTAAGATCTTCAAAAATATTTACACAAATTAGAATAAAAACTTTTCCCTGTACAAGGTGTTCCCCCCAAAATATTTACACATTTTTATTCTTCATCGGAAAAATAAATTAGTAGGCACCACCAAAATGCTCATTCTCCGCCCAAACAAAGTCCTAGCAACACAAACCAGACGCAAAAATTTCAGAGCTGACCGTTATCTTATTCAAAGGTTACAAGTGATTTTCTGAAAATTTTCAATGGAAAAATGGTTTAACCTTTAGGTCAGCTTGACAGCTGACCTAAAGGTGAGGTCTTTAGGTCAGCTGTCAAGCTGACCGAGCTGATCTCAAGCTGACCTAAAGGTCAGCTAAGCTTGACAGCTGACCTAAAAGTTAGGCCCAATGCAGAACCTGCTGCATCCTTAGTAACTGGGGCCATTCAGCTCCACATATTCGAGGACTCTGTCGGTTGCACTTTCCCCATTGGAATTTTCAGAAAATCACTTGGAACTTTTGAATAAATCAACGGTCAGCTCTGAAACTTTTCTGGCTTGGACCGCTAGCACTAGTTTTGGGCGGAGAATAACCGTCCGGCAATGCATAGTCATATCTGCGGGGGAAAAACCCTGCAGATTTTGTGGAGGGACACCCGGTCTATGTCATTAACCTACGCAAAATGCCCTTCAGCACCCAATTCTTCACTGAGTCGACAGTCACTACAGCCTCCCACTAACCTTTTGATAGATTCGAAGGCCTCCAAAGGAGGTTAACTCGATTGATGGCCTTTCCTAGAGCCCTTCCGTCCACTTAATTGACATCCTTGTAAACTAGGTACAACAGGTTGCCCTCAAAATGTGCCTCTGCAAGGTTTTTGAGTACCCAGCCTGCTGCATAATCTAGAAAGTTAAGTGGCTTCACAGTATAATGCAGAAACACTTCAATCAATGTCTATCGTCCACAGTCAGCTCTCAGAAAAGCTGCACCTCCCCACTTAAGATCTGCAGGTAATCGACTAACAGCATTTGTTGTTTGCTAAGAACATTAAAAGCTTCTTTTTACGCGCAGCTAGAAAATAGACTATTTTATTTATACGTGGCCCACGCAGAGAAAGCAGAAAGCCGGAAGCTCTGTCAAACAATAACTGCCAGGGCTGATGCCAACAGGAGACCACTCACCCAGACGAAAGGTAACCCTGCTCAGCTTCTGCCCCAGGCTGTTGCTGGCCACAGCAACATACTCGGCCTCGTCCTCTGATGATGGGCTCTCAATCCTGAGGCACCACTCCCCATAGCCCTTATTCTCTGAAAACAAGAGGAGAGCGCGGCCGTCCTGTCGGGTTGCTCTTGAAAGTACACCACGAAAGCTAAAAGTAGCCTTGCTCGACACGCGTGGGATACAGAATGTCTCCAGTGGGTGGAGCCCACGGCGTAAGTTATGTAGGTGCGAACACGCACCACGCCGAATTGCGGTCGACCATACAAAGTCCCATGGGAGTGCAATCCCAGTATAATCCCAGTGAAACTGTTCTTGCCACTGTCGAGGCACAAAACTAGGGTCAATGACAAAGCCGCGCGTAAGCAACAAGCGTGGCGCAAGTGCCAGGTTCCACACAACGCTTTACGCCAAAAATGAATTTAAAAACAAGCATGTCTCCCAAAGAGAAGTATAGAAAACCAGGCCCGCGACGGGTGACCACTAGCCAATAGTCGAAGAGTCATCTGGTGGTGCCGCTTGAGACTGAGGCGAGGAGGGGAATTGTATTCGACAGCTGCAACGCGCACGGTGTCCACACCTACGTGTATATCTTACGTCGTGGCACAGTTGAATCTCGTTAATTGGAACCCGAGGGGGTCCGGAACTTTGTTTGAATAATGCAAAGTTTGAATTGCCGGGAGTTTCCTTCCTAGAAACACATAGGATGGGACCTGCATGCTAGTTTAAATTATCCAGGAGTTTGGATTAAGAGATTCCACTGTACAGCCCGGTGCCAGAGTGGGTGCGAGGGACCGGGGGAAGAGCTCACCCAGGGAGAAGCGGTCCTCCTCGCCGTCTGGGAGGGGGAGGTCGTCCCTGAGGAACCAGACTCGGGGCTCGGGGTAGCCGCTCACCGTGCACGACAGCTGCACGCACGGCTCGCCCAGGGGCTCCACCACGTGAGGGGCCACCGTGAAGTCGGGGGCGTTGCTGGCTCGGCTGGTGGCTGTGGAGACAGCCCGTGAGCGCGGCAACCCCAGTCGAATCGACACTTCGCTCGGTGGGATAGGTTCGCTTCCGGGATCGCTTTAGGAGCGGTTACCCAAAAGTTTAAATAAAACATGAACACGGTCAAAGCTGATAATATGAACCTGGAAGGAAGCTCTCGAAAATCTGAAAGCGGCAGTCAACATTTCTTTTAAGACAGAGATTCTCAAACTTTTCTATTCAGAGGAACCTTAACCCCTCAACCGTTTTTAGTTCCTGGAGATTCCTGACCCTCAACTGCTTAATTGTTGTCTTCAAGATGAACTTCGTTACCTTCAAAGTCAAATTTCTACTGATAAACAAACTGGCAAAAAATGTTTTAAAAAATTCAGTGCCGCCATCCGTTGGCAGAGCTGTCAACTAAGCCACGAGCGAGCTTGGGTCGTCCCAGACAGTCAAGCGCGCAAACCGGGGAAAGCGGGCGAGCTTACTCGCCCCGAACGCTTTAGGGATGGCCCCACAATGACCAAGCTAGGTTTGTCCAAAACAACGAAGGGGTTTGTAATCTTTCTCGATTGATGGCCCAAAAACCCCTCCAAGACCCGGCACAGATGCAATAAAGCAGTGCAGAAGCTTAGGAACCCTGCAAATGACAATGTATATGAGAGGCACTGTTTGGTCCACAGTTATGTATCAATGGGTGGCTCAGATCTGCACAGACCTGCAGAAAACACTTTGTGGTGGAGAAGGGAACCAACCCACAGGAGCACTTTTGGGATTTTAGAGCCACCCTCAAGACGAGACGTCTCTTAGCAAAACGTTGATCTTAATTTTCACACCAGCCCAAGTTAACGAACGAAACTTTCGGAAAAGCAATCGGTAACCCCGACTCGCTCGAAGAGACACCGCAAGACGGCAGGCACGAGCCGCACAAAGGAGCGAAAAGGAAGCCACATTGGAGCACCCACCTCGCACGGCCAGAGCGAAATCGCACCAGACTTCGTCCCTGTCAGAGTACGCCACAGCAGAGTACGTCCCCTCGTCGCCCTTGTTCGCGTCGTAGATTTCGAGGACGTACTCCCTGCCGCGGAGTCGGGTCGTTCGGCAACGTTCGTTCGGGACGAGGCGCTCTCTGCCACGAAACCACGCCACTCCTGCAAGGACGGCCGGAGAACAGACTGTTAAGAGCGGCCGTTCTCCGTTTCCAAGCACATTATGCCTACAAGTGAGGTCTGTTACAACGTACAGCTCGACATTTCAGTGACGTACCATATTTTCCGGACTATAGTCCGCATCTGTCGATAGTGTGCAGAAACAAATTTCAGTTCAAGAATAAAAGATATTCCTTAGGTGTACCTGGTCCATAGTCGGCACCTGGTGCACTCAATGCACATTGTATTTACTCGCATAATGAACGCTCCCTCCAAAAAGGGCATCAATATTTTCACTTTTCTTTTTTCCCTTGCATAATGAACACAACGACCATTTTCGGCTCCGAGAGTCTCGAACTGCATCAAACTCAGCCAGTCACCAAGCCTACCAAGATAATTTTCTTTTGTGCCAGGCCGGCCAAGCCAAGCCAAGCCAAGCATAGCATTACACACGCGCGTAATGGCTGCAAGTGCATGGTTGAGGAACTGATCAACAGTTGAATCGAGCAGCGCGCACGCCTAACAAAGCTGGAGTCAAGGAAATGCCCAGCCCCGGATGTGCTTCACCCATCAAATGTATTGATGTCAACAAACATGCCGTCGTCTGTGGTCCGCTTTTGGACATTGGCATCAAGAAAGTTACTAGTCTTAAGAATGGTCACGTCGCTCTTTGTGAACAGTGAGCTTCGTAGGGTGCTCTTCCTTCAGCAAAAGGCATGCCGAAAACGCCCTACAAAGTTTTGCTACTTATAGAGCACGGTTACTGCGGCACACCCATGACCAGCTGCAGGTGCGCCTCCGTCAGTGGAGACGTGCCACGGTACCCTGCCATGTCATATTGGCAGCTAAAATTACATTTGCGCAGAGCGTGTAAATGCAATACCTGGATCCGCCTCTGATTGGCACAATACTTTTTCCTAAACTTCCTTAGATGTTGCGCAAGTATGTCAATATGTGATAGCACAAATTTGATTTCGAGCTATCAATTTTTCACTCGCAACTACTACAACCAAGTTGCCTGCACTCCGAAAAATTTGCCGGTCCTGCGGACTTCATCATAAAGGCGTTTGATCGTATATGGTCGTCTGCAGACCATAGTCTGGCAAAGACAGTACTAATTTTCCTGACCATGCACTGACCATAGTACGGTCAATTTAAGAAAACAATACAGTATAGACCACTTACAACGTAACCGCTTATAGTGCAGGACCGGGTATAACGCGGTTTGTTTAAACCACCGGTTCGCCTCCCATAGAACTCCATGTAATTACATACCGCTTAAAATGCAGGCGCGCGAAGGGAAATACCGGTTATAGTGCGGTTTCTGGCACAGCCCGCCGACCGCGCCGACGACCGGAGCGGCGAGCACGCTTCCCTGTGCGACACTAGATAACGGCGCGAGCCGCAAACGGCACTCGCGGGGCAAGGAGGTTGCTCGGAGAAGCGAAGAGAGAGGCTTCATTTGCCATAGCGACGGAAGGACGCACGCACGTGTCGTTCATGTGCGTGCGTCCCTCCGCTGCGTTGGAAACAAACAACCGAAATGACAGACCAATCGCAGGTCGAGAAGTGTTCGCGCGCGTTGCACAGCGTTGCCTGCCAATCGCGGGCCGGCGGCTTCTGTCCGCAAACGTGGCGTCGGTTGTGGCGTTCATCTCATCGTTCCGCGTAAGAACGCTATCCTTGACAGTGAACAGACGCGGTCTACGAATTTTCGTCGTGTGTCGCTATGATAACCCAGCACGTACTAGAAGGGAACATCCACCTACTCGTGCGGCGATGTGGCGGCGCTCTCAAGACGGCAGAAACGCCCGTGTCGTCGTGTTTGTTTACTTCGGCTAAAGTGGTGCTTTCTAAGCATTTGTGTTTTCGAACATCGCCCGGATTTCTTATTTGGAGCATTTCATGCCTGTGCTCAAGTTCAAGGTATTTTTCTGGCGCGTACCGTATGAAGGATGCGAATTTTCACGCGTTTTCATCTCCGGAGAAAAGTGATTAGGGTTAGCAATCCTGAAAGCTCGCAACGTCCGTCCGCAACCCGCGACGCCGTTAAAAGGCTGCGCCAGGCAAAAGCCGCTTATTTCTTTCAAAATGTGTGACACACTTGAGAGAGATGTGTACTAGTCTGGTGAAATAAAGACTTTTCTCAAACTAAGCTTTATTTTTCATCTAACATAAAATAAATTCTTTTACAAAGGTAGGTTGTCTCATGGCATGTATTTTGGCCTGAAAAATTGATGTTTTGGTTATAACGCGGTACCGCTTATAGTGCGGATTTTCGCGACTCCCGCGACATACGTTATATGCGGTCTACACTGTATTTTTATTGTATATTTGTCTGAAGAATACCGAGAGTACATGTACCAAAATCTCATAACGCAAGTTTCCTCTAATGAAAAGATACATACTTGTCGTGATACTTCTACATGCACTTGAGGCATTAAAAAAGAGGGCTCGCTTCAATATGTTAATACATAGTTAAAAAAGACACCTATGGCAAGCTTGTAACGTTGTTACAGGCATTTGAGGTTCTTGTGTGGTAAAATAACACTACTAACATAGAAAGCTATTTGTTGTAAAATGGCTTTACCATGTAGTAAAACCAAATCACAATGGAACTGAGCCCCGTAGAAATATACTACTTGCTCCAGTCACTGCTGAAGGTAATAACCAGTTGGTTTACGAACTGGTGAAAGGTCAAACAATACGTCTCTACACCGGGACTACACCAAATGGAAACTACCATTTCTTAAACATATACTAAAGAGCTAAACATGCCGACATTCTTCGGAGGTCCGCTAAGTTCGTAAACATCAACAAATATGTTGCACCGCCCCAAGCTAGAAGGCTGCCTGTGTTTTCCTATAGAAAACCTTCAGTCGTTTTTTAAAAAGCCAGCGAAAGAAAATTTTTTTAAACAATTTGGTTGGGACACACATGTCAAAAAATAAATTTTATGTGAAAAAAAAATTTTCTTAGAGCAATAGTGACGGCGCAAGGTGCGATTTAGTCGGTAGTCACCTCCTTTCCACTTCTCTCGGCATTTCGGGTGCGTGGAGAAGAGGTGGATCGGCTTGGCCATCACATTGAGGTGGAGAGAGTGTATGACCATCTCCATGAAGTGGAAAGAGTGTATGACCATTCCGTGACGTTATGGGCTTTGCGCACAAAATTAAAAATAAATCTCGCATCGTCAATATTGCGCTAAAAAAAATGTTTCCCTGTGTAAAAGTTTGTTTTTACATGCATGTCCCAACCAGACTGTTTAAAAAAAAACAATTTTTTTTCTTTTCAGTGGTTTTTTATCACAACAAACATATACACCGATGACAATCGTCATGAACAAAGGGCTCGAGGTACACCCAAGCGCTCCATACGAGTTGTGAATGCAAAAGCATGAATGTCGTTCTTCCGCTCCCTTAGTTTGTGTGCGGCAAGCTGGCCTGGACGGCCACGTTACGCTACTGCGAGCTTGCGGCTGAAGGCCAAGCGCGCACTCTTGTGAAGTGGCCGCGCCACACTAACATCGGCCATGCAGCCGCTCCAGAGTCTGCCTGAGCGTACACTGGGAGGCCCCGTAGCCAGCCGCCTCGTTTTACTTGTGTGCGCCGGCCAATGGGAGCCTATCCATCAGATTTCGGCTCCACTTTGCTCCTTTTGGAGAGGTGAATTTAGCTGCCGTTTTCCGTGGCTTTCTGCGTGGCTTCAAAGCTGGGAGCCTTCAGATCGTGGCTTCACTCCATTGGGAGAGGGAAGTTAGCTGCCGTTTGGCGCGGCATTAAAGCTGATGACGTCGGCTTTCGCCATGGGACCAGTTAATGCTTTCGCATTAAAAGAGCAACAGAAACTCTGTTGGCAGCAACGGCGCGAGCCAGCAATTATTTCGTCACAGCGCTCCTTGGTCCGAGTCGTCATTATTGTGCAGTTTTTTTTACTCCCCCTCCCCTCCCCTCCCCCTCCCCCCCCCCCCCCCCGAGTTAGGTAAAACCTCGCAAGTCGTTGACGACGATGGAAGTGCGAAGCTTACCTAACAATTTGGGAGACGTGATCTCGCAGACAAACTTGGCGGTCTTGCCAGCGTGCAGGCTCGTCTTGGCTTCCGGCCGAGAGACGAACCGCAGGGACGGATCCTTGGACTGCCTCCTGGCGTCGGGAGCGGCGTAGTCAGGGACCCGGAGCTGCTTCAGGACGATCTTGGCGGCCGACACGGGCTCTCTCTTCGGCGCCGACCGAGTCTGCTTCGGTTTAGAGCTGCCCCTCTTGGCATCCGCTGAAGGGAGAGACCGGCATTGTGAGTCATGTCGACGAGAGCGGAGGTGTCGGGCGGATAAATGCCGAGACGTCGTACAGAGGAACATTGACCGCAAACAGCCGCAACGTCGGGAAAAACGTTAAGGATTGAGCAAACTGAAAGTGCAATAGGAGACATCTACAATAAACACAATTTGTAAAACACAACATTCTCGGTGCAAAAAGCACAATCAAATCATACGGTGTGGCGCCATTCATAGGGCTGCAAAGTTAGGGAGCTTATGCAAAGTGCATCCTGTGGGCAAGCCAGATCGTGCCGCATTGCAAACTACCCTCCCTTCCCCCCCCCCCCCCTCCCACCCGAAATAGTGGTTTTGTTCACCCCTAAAAAATTTCCTGGGAAGAATCCTGACCACGGGCATCGATACCCCAAATGCCTGTGTTGGCATTATGAACTTTTCTACCCATCTTTTACTAGACATGGCAGAACCAAGCTATAGCATAGCCAGTGGAAAAGGAAGCTCTTAGAAGCCCCAAATTAGCGCATGTTTTGCCAAGAGACTTGGCTAAATCTTTGCACTATGTCAGTCTTTCTGTCACCGGAGTACCTCGAGCGTGGTGAAATTACAAGCTCCCAAGAATGTTCCTTTAAAGTAAGCCAAAGATGTCGTTTACTTACACATATTAAAAAAGTTATATATATTGGCATAGCAAAATGTTTTCTTATAAATGAATTTCACTGTGAAAAAGCTGTACCGATTCAAATTTTAAATTATGAGAAACACACCAAGGCCAAGGGCTCACTTAACGACCCTGGGGGTGTGATGAAAAATAAGAAATAAAATGATTCAGAACCGACCTAGTACAAATGAACTCGGGCATGCAGTAGTTTGTAAACTGAAAATTCTTCTCAAGTCAGGTTTGTGGTTCCCCGCTTCTGTTACCGTGCTCCAGAGTTAAAATGCAACTGCCAGGAATTTAGCTATCTGCATCACGCCTTGCCCTCACACGCCAGTATGCACAAAGGACACACAGTTAAGTCTGGCAGTTTCAGAATTGCTTCAAAAGGAAAAAAAAATATCACAAATTCTTTTTCGCATAGACTTTCGTTGCGCTGTTAAAACTACAGCACCGTGCATTTCCTAACACGCGCGTCGGTACGAAAACCGCATCAGACTCACTCGAAGGTTCCGGCGGCTTCTGCGCCACCGCACGACGAGGCTTCGGCTTAGGAATCCCGTTGCAGTCCGTTTCGACGGAGGGCGGTCCGGAAAAGCGCCAGCGAGTCTGCAGACGGTGAAGCAATATTAAATGCGCTCCAGCTACAATGGCGGCTCGACAATGTCTGCTAATGGCTACCACAAAACAAGTGCTGCTATAAAACATTAGTGAGCGATAAAGCATCCCAGACATATTTTAATCTACTATGTTTTGCAACCAACCTATTTTTTCTTTTAAAACACCTACAACGACAAAAGTTAGAGGTGTTTGCAGTACACAATATCGTACATTCATCATTCGTTATCCCAAATTTTCTAAAGAAAATCCCGACTCGGAAACGGGAGTTAAGAAACTGCGTAAGTGTATTGCAGTCTCAAGCGACTCTAAGTTGGACGAACGAGCAGGTGCCGCCATGAGAGCGTGGAGAAGGCTGCTCATAAAACTATCTGGCACTTTCGGAGAGATGCTAAAGTGCTCGATAATTCCTTAAACGAGGTCAGCACTCTAGACTCGCTATAAAAAGCATGCTCTCACGCGCCCATTCCCCCATGTTCGCCCCTCTTTCTGGCGGCAAGAAACGTCTTGTTAACGCAGCGGAAACTGCCCTCTCATGCGCCCTTTTCCCCATTATGTCTGACCAAGAGACGTCAGTGCAAGCTATGTATAAGTAAAGACCTTACAATCCCTAGCATCGAGAGTAATACGAGCAAATGGCCACTTCAAGAGTAGCACAATGCCCAAGTTCTTTGTTTCCACATTACCGGCACTTCCATAACGCTTGAGGAACTGGTCCTCTTGACGGGTTTCTCGGTAGGGGGAGCTGCCGTGCCGTTGGTGGCCCCGGTTGCTGCGGCAGCAGCCGTCTTCTCCTCCTCCTCCTCCTCTTCGGAGTCCGACGCGCTGGACAACTCCAGCGACCCCACCGAGAGTTTTTCGGACATTTCGGACAACTCGTCAAGATCCCTGAAAGAGACAACGAGAGAAGGAGCCAGCGAGGACAAATTGAGCGGAGAAGAAGTCAATTGAATAAATTATTCGACCAATGAATTCTCGTTAGTGTTTTAAGCTAAATAAATGATTATTTGTGGTAGTGGGCAATAAGCTGATAAGTCAATTGGCAGATAAGCCAACTTATCATTCGATAAGCCCATGTGGAAATTCATCAGTCAATAATTGAATGGCCAAATGAGCCTATCCATCCGTCCATAAGCCAATCGTTTAATGAGCAAGTCCATCAGTCAATAAGCCATTGAAGAAATCCATCAGACCCTAATCCAATCGCTACACGAGTCAATAAATAATAAAATCCAATTTTCCAGTGAAACAGTCTATCGGCTCATTGAATTTACACATGACTTAGCTGAAACAATTATTGAAAGAGGACAGACTGACATAATGTATTTAGAGTTTTCTAAGACGTTTGACGGGGTATCCAATTCAAAATTACTGGCAAAGCTTTCGAACATCCTCGAAAACTCACAAATTTTAAATTGGATAGCTACTTATTTAACAGACAGAAGCCAATATGTTCACTATAATAAAATCTCTAATAAATTACCCATTACTTCGGAAGTACCCCAGGGCTTTGTGCTTGGGCCACTTTCTTTTGGCTTTCATTAACGACATACCATTTAACATAAATGCCCCAATGAGAATATTTGCAGATGATTTTATTGCATATAACAAAAGAAGGAACCACAACGACGACCTTAAACTACAGGAAGCTTCGGGCGCAATATTGAATTGGTCTAAAATGTGGCAAATGAAGCTAAATTATGATAAGACAGCCGTCATGACAGTCTTTTGTAAGAAAGAGCCGATCCAATTTAATTACTTAGTTGAAAGGCATCTCTTGGACAAGTCGAGGAATACAAATATTTAGGACTTGTTTTTAACAGTAAACTCAACTGGAACCAGCACTTGGAAGCAACTGTCACTAAAGCGAGGGGCCTTTTGTTTGTGTTGAGAAGGAAATTAAAATTTGCTAATTCAGATACTAAACTTATTGCCTATAAAAGTTTTGTTAGATCTGTGTTAGAATACGCCAGATCAGTGGGGCACCCTTACACACAAAATGGTATTCTCAGGCTTGAAAGTATTCAGAAACTAGCTGCTCGGTTTGTTTTTAGTAACTTTCGTACAGGAACCTCATCTGCGAAACTGCTTCTCAGGGCGCGGCTTCAAGCGTTGCAAACAAGAGCAAAAATTGATAGATTAAGAGTGCTGTATGATACTCTTATTCGCACTATCTAAATCGAAAGCTCTAGCTACTTAGAACCATTATCAACAGGGTCCCGATGCCTAAACCATACTAGAGCGTTAAAACAATATGGGTTTAGGAATGACTCTTTTAGATAGCCTTTCTTTCCTCGGACAATTCAAGATCGGAAGGAGCTACCAAACGATGTTGTCACCTTTACCCCTGCTAAAAATTTCATTACTGCTATGGAAATTTTACTTACTCGAGGTTTTCCTTTTTCTGTTTCGATTTATGACTGTGCTTTCTGACGTATGGTGTACCCACCCCTATGAAGGCTCCTTGAGTGGAGCCAGTAGTATTTCCAAATAACTAAATAAATAAGCCAATCACTTCATCAGCTACCCAATCACTCAGTAAGCAACTTGACCAATTAGCCCATCATTCGAGCCAAATGGTTAAAAAATTCACAGGGTCTCTTATGTTACCTCTAAGACGACTTGAAGGCGAAAGCCCAAGTGCCGATAAAAACGTGATAGCGAACCTCCGAAGACAGCGCACTCTCTGACGACGCACTTTTGGCGCCGTTAATCTCACGGCATGTCGCACGCACGCTCTTCCCCGCTGCCCGAGCGGGAGTGTCCTCCTCTCCCGCTGGGCTTGCGTCGTGTGCACGCCTCCGCCGATTCTGGCACAAGTAACACCCTCTTGTGGTCCGGTGACGAACCATGGGTTTTGATACCTTTCGTGTCGGCGACGTGTTTTCATTTAAGGAAAGTACTAAAACAAAAGTTTAACCTTGGCTAATGTGACTGCACGTGGCTATAATATGTTCCACGACCTAAAGTAAGACGTTGAGACAAGGGGGTTGTGAACGAAGGCAAAGCCAGCAACGACTTGAGGCCCAGCAAGCGACAAGGATCAACACTGAAGTTGACAAGCTTCTCCAAAGAGCCAAAAGTATGGGTGGAATAATCGGGGTTTCACTTGCTTTTTGTGCCTATGATCCAATACACAATGTATCCAATGTCAAGTGGAGAAACTGGGAACTCGTGAAAAAAAAAGAAGCAACTATTTTACAGTTAACATGTGCACTTGTAGAAAAGGCAACTACAATGAGGCATACTGGATGATTTCACACGGTATCATAAATTTTACAGAAACACTTCAATGAAGAGAACTGGGCCTAAATATGTCTAAATACGCTGCATATAGTTTACATTGGGGATAAAAGAGTCCCCTTCAGTGCGAAAAATGATTTTGGGCCCTTTCCCGAAAACAAATCCTGGCTACGTGCCTGAACCTGACCAATCGGTCAATGAGTCGGTCTACGGGCCAATCTGTCAATAAGTCGGCGTATCAATCAATAAGCCAATCCACATGTCGAATAACCGACCGAACGATCGTTGGAGGCTTGGAAAGCCGTCAGTCAACCCGGAGAACGACTCCGACCGGAAAGAAGAGGCCGAGAACCCACCTGCTGCCCAGTCGCACCCTGTCGTAGTCGGAGGCCGGGTTGGGAATGACCATGTTGATGGGGTCGTAGTAGGCAGCGTAGCGTCCCCCCCGGAAGGCTCCCAGGGCGGCGCTGCGCTTCTTCTGCCGGAACAGCCAGTTGTCCTCCCAGACCACCACCGCGGAGGTCCAGACACCCCCGGGGGGGCAGTCCTCTTCCTTTTCTTCCTCCTCCCCCTCAGAATTGAGGGCATGGGGGCTCACAATGTCCACACCCATCTCCGGGAACGGAACCTGCGCGGAGTTTCTAGCCATGAGCGCCTCCACCCGCTCGCCCATTGTCGTGAACAAACTCCTGGCAATGCAAGTGCACTCAAATTTAAGTTCAAGAGGTGAAACCGGACGTAAAATACCGCACGACTGCCCTCCCCCGAGAGGTCGGCCGTCCCATCTTTCTGGCTAAAATTTCCGAAACATCGTCCGCCCGTCATTTCGATGTCCCGACGGAAACCGCATCAATGCGCAGTCTGCGGCATCGGCATGTGTGACAAGCGAGTTTGCAGCGGTTTCTCGCGCGCTCATTGCACTGCGAAACCCGGGTTTGCCACGTGCGTGATATTGGTTCCCACGACAGGCGAGTTTGGCGAGGGTTCCCATGTACTTGTCGCGCCGGGAAACCCCGCCCACCCGATATTTCTCGCCATTGCCCGCCACCCGACTTTTCTTGAAATGGGGAGATTTTACGGTAGTCCCCGAAGAAACGAGAATAGCGCGGAGGAGTCGTCCAGCATGAACGCATCTCGTGACCCTTGAACACACACGCGCAGCTTAGACACATGCCGTTCGAAAGAGATGCTCCGTCATTCCTCGTCGGTGGCCACAAGAAAAAAATTGTTCACAATCGGGTAAGCCTTACGAGATCGCCAGTCACCAAATGCTAGTGAAAGCTCACCCTGTGCTCGCGTGAGGGGTCCAGGGTGAAAGGAACGTCCACGCCCGAACCACTGCACTCCTCGGCGTCCGAGAGGGCGTTGCGGTTGCGCTCGTCCTCGGATTCCGTGTAGGCTTCCGTGATCTCCTCCTCAATCTTCTCTTCGATCTGTGGCACGTGTGCGAGAGACGACAGACGTTCCCAATCAAGAAACAAATAGTGGCCACCGTGATTCCCACGAAACGACGTCGATGCAAAGCCCCGTACGCATCTGCGCATCTGGCCGAGGCCCCACCCTTAAAAACTGGAAGCCCATAACATACCAAGAATTAGGCTCTTAAAAACAATTTACTCTACTCGTCAAATAGAGCTTTCATCGTCCTAACTAACCGAACGCACAAAAAGCTTGTTTAAAGGTTCGTAATACCAAAATAAAACGAGTTAAATCATGGTTGACATACAATATTTGCAGGTTAATTAATAGGAACACAGAGTTTTGTGAATTTAATTTTTTAATGCCCACAGTTTGCATGTGGTGACTAAACCCTCTTCATTTTCCAATTCTTGCATTCAACTTCCACAAATTTTGTTTTTAAATTCTATGATTATAGATTATTTCGGCGGAATACACTCCAGTGCAATGCAATGCTATGCGATGCGATGCTCAAACAGGAGACTATTCAATTCACATTTGAAATTTCTAACGCAGCTGTCTCCACTCACAATGTATTTGAAGGGGTCCTGCTTGGCGACGCGAGCCCAGAGAAACTCGTCGGATTCCGTTTCTTCGGCCGTAAACTCCTCTTCCTCTTGGCCGGAATCAGACAGGGGTATGTCCGACTGGCAGCCGACATCCATCAACTCTGCTGACCAAGATGGAAAACACAAACATAAAGACAAGGCTGCAGGCCAAGTCAGCTAACCAACTTCGCGAGGGTTAAGTCAGGTTAAGGTGCGATACCAGAAACAGTACTATTTTGGTCTTAGACAGATTCATTTGTGGATCATGATTTTATTTTGCCTGTTCTTCATCCAAAGTAGTGTATATGATTATATTACCAATAAATGCGTAAACAGTGACAAAATATTTCAATTCATAATTACAACTGAATAAAACTAAACAACACTATTTTAAAAGAAGGAATATGTACACCCTAAAGATATTAAAATATGACAATCAATATTATTAACTAACAGTAGGTCATCTTCCGCTACACCTTGCGACATCTGCAGCGCAGCACTCGCAACACACTCGCGAAATCTTTGTTTTATCACCACTAGGTTGCGGCAGCAGACCAAATTTACATGTGATAAGCCAGACCACACGCATGTTAAAAAGTGATAATTATACGAGACATCACCATAACCAGCCTATGGCGGAAAGCCATTGTCAGAAATGCCACCTGCTTTGTCGCAAAGCTACGCCGACGTTCTGTTTAGCTACCTTTCTTGGCTGTCCTTATGATGTCCGGTTCGCAGACCTTGCCAGCGTCGTCGGCTCCGCCTTTGACTTCGTACTTCCGCTGCGCCATCTCCACAACCTGCACATGCATCCACGACGTCCAACTTGGAAGCTATTGCAAACCGTCACGATTGCCTTCTTTGGAAACTGATCAGTTAATGGGAGATTACACCATCTGGTTCATCTGATATCAGATAAGCACTTCGTACCTTGTTCATGACGGCCATGACAAGTAGATCCTCGTAGGTGTCGCAAAAAACGTCGTCGCCGTCGTCGCTTTCCGACATGTCCGAGAAGCCCGAGGAGTTCTTCTGATCCGTCGATGTTCCATCGTCCTTGACGCAAAAAATCCGAGGTGATGATCGTGAGGTACGGTAACATGAATTTTAGTGTGATACATCACATGGCAGCCATGCAAAAGACAATTCTAGAACTCTGACAGAGACATCCTTACAACTTACGAAGAAACCAAGGTGGATGTTGTGGAAATGCCAGCCAATTACTAAAGAGAATAAGATGTCTGGCTTGGCAAGTTTTATGGGCAATCTGGATAGGCATATTCTATTCAAAATATTGGAATCAAGCATTTTGTAAATTGAATAGAGTAGGCCATTCAAGTCTGTTGTGTAAAAAAGCTTCCCAGTTTGTGCAAGCCAGCATGAAAAGTTTGAATGTTTTTCTACACAAGCTGTAAAAAACAACCTCTTCTACACCCTGAAAAGAGAGTTTGATCCTGGTTGCTGTCGTACCACTTTTCTGTCTACCAAAACAATTACATATTCATTGGTTAAACCTTTGCAAGTAAACTGCCTGCATGTGAACTATCTAGGTTTGTTCTACACGCCTGTAACCAACCCTACTGGAGGTCAATTGGGCATGTTATGAGCAAGAAATTACCACAAAAGCTTGGTAGTTTCAAGACCCGTGCTTCGAAAGACTGCTTCCTAAGGTGAGCTTCCACATTTGTTTCAGCATGCACACCTTATAGCTGAACAACATTCAAGCTAGTGCTCACTTTTGCTCCCATGCACACTTGTCATACTGGCAAAAAATGAGAAAACTATGCAAAGTGGACTAACGTAATGTCACTGAGCCACATACTGTCATTGGCAGAGTATAATGCAAAGGTCTAGATAAAACCAGCTGATAACCCAACCGGTTTCAGCGAGGAAAAAGCTTATTTCAACTGGTACTGTCTGAGGCACTAACTCAAATAATTGGACTTCAACAAATGTTCAAGAAAATGATAACGCGGAAAGCAGTTAAAATTAGTTGAAAATAAAACGCCGTCCTTAGTACAGTGACAATGTTCCAGAGCAACAAAAGGACCGAAATGCGAAGAGATAATTCAGCAGAGGTTTTCCTCTGGCTGGCGGACTTCCCTTGTCAAACACGGGCACGAAAGGTACGGCACATTATCTATTCACCCATAGCAGACTTGTAAAAGACACTCAAAAAAAGTATTTAGGTTAAGTTACTGCATACCAGGCTAAAAGTTAACTGAGTAGAGTACTAAATACACATGAAACTTTTTTAAGGTACTCTCAAGTTAAAATTGTTATTAAATTTTTTTTTTATAAAACATTTTTTTTTTTTAATCTAATCAGAGTAAGAAAACAGATGTCCTCTCGCCCCAACCCTTCACCCAGGAGCGAGAGGGAACAAGCTTCTTTGTGCTAGCTTCGGGGCGAAAGATAAGCCACCATGGATACAAAAGCGATGGCTGCGGAGCTGAATCTAGGCCACCGTCGACCTTCTTCTGAAAAAAGGCGGAAGTAACTTACAAGTAATCTAAGAAGTGAGCGCAAGTTACTCGGAAAAAGTATCCAAGTTAGAGTACCAAGTACCGACTTTTAAAGTATTTGCAAGACACCAAGCTATTCACAAAAGTATTTAAGATACAGTAATTTGAGTAGAGTAATCAAGTTACCCGTAGGCAGGGCAGGGAGTCCGCCTCCTTGCATATGCTGTACACCAGTTCCTTGACTCGGGCGTGGGTGCTTGTGGGCGTCAGGTCGGCTTCGAAGGGCTTACCTGCACACGGAACACTCAATGTGCTCGCACTCCCGCAGAGGAAGGGAGACCCCAAGGAAGGCCGTGCAATTCGTGCAACTAAGACTCTTTGAGAGGCACATCACTCAGGGTACGAAGGGTCACTAACATTAAAGATCCTTGGCTTCGATGAAACAGTGATAGACTCTCGGTAATTCAAACTCGGACAATTCACACTTTTGGCTAGCCAGTTCCAGACATTTCTGGTCGGATGGCTCTTCCTTCGGTAGTCCATTTGTGAACTGCTCAATTCTGAAAATTCGGCTAATTCACGCTTCTTGTCCAACTAGGGTTCTTGAAGCTACAAACTGGACCCGCTATCAAGCCGATTATCCCGCGTCGGCAGCGCTATTGATGGGAAATAATTAGCGAGAATGCTAAGCCGTTCTCTGGGTGCCCAAACGGTTTAGGCAGTACCTGGATTGCCGAGCGCGTTGGTGAACAAATTACGTGAAAATGAAACGAATGCAGAAAACGATGACAGACATAACACCCTCATTTTGCCACATTCATGACCATAGGAGTTCAGTTTTAGTTCTGGTGTGCTTAGCAAGGCATCTCTAGCCCGTGACAGGTTTTAGACATGGAAGTAATATATCTTTATTTAGAAGCTCGCATTGGTGTTTCCTTGTGCGAGTAGCTTTTATAATATGGTTCCTGTTTGTCGGATAATTTAGACGGAAATTAATGACCTTTTAATTCCAAGGTAATAATATCAGTATAGGTGAACTCCGGCTGACAAAGTATGCTTTTAATTTGAAACCCTGAAATTGTTTGACGAGGGCCTATAATAATCAGACTTTCAAACTGGCAGACTCCCCAAACAAAAAAAAAAAAAAAAAAAAAAAAAACTACAATTAGATATGCTAATAACAACAGTATCCCACTGTGGACGGTAACCTGCCAAGAGTTGGGAAAGAAGAAAGGTACCCGTATTTGCGCAATTTGCAACTTATCATGGGACAGCCTCTTCGCAAAGACGTTTGCGCTCAGGTCTCCCGAGCTACAGATGTCAAAGCAAAGCACGCAGTAAAACAACTCCAAGGCTTTCCAGTGTAAGTTTAAATTTCCAGATATTTTCATGGGTTCCCAACTTTTCCCGTTGGCCGACAGACTCCTGACCCCGAGTGAGCGTGCACGACACAATGTCCGTCTCGACTTCATACGAGGCACAAGATGGAGGAGAAAACAGAAACGAGGACGGAAACAAAGGTAAAAAAAAAAAAAAAAAGCATAGTATGCTACACCTAACGCCGGCGCAAAGCATTTCAGCCTCAGCATCAAGCAACCAGCCGGTCCGGCCGATCCCACCGAGAGAATAACCGGAGGACAGCTGCACTAAGAAGCCTTTAGGAATGAAAAGAGTCTCACCTTGGAGGGCAATGAGGAGGGCCCGCGTGAACTGAGCCACACCTTCCCGCAAAAGCTCCTGGTGGTCGGAAAGGAACTTCTCGTCTGGAGTCGGGGATCAATTGGGATAAATTAAATAATTACGACGGGTGGATACAGCGCACCCGATGCTTCCGCACACTTTCCCCCCCTGACTGTACCTCGACTATGGCATACGCAGTAAACGAGCAAAAATATCAGTGAACAACTCAAATCGTATACCGATTTTAATCGTACATTGGAATCTGAATTAACTCACGGTGGTTTTGGCCTTTCTTGGCCTGTGGCTATGTGCCCTTAGTTTAGTGACCAGCTTTGGGCCTTCCTTTTGCCTTTCTTTGACCACGTAACGTCCGACTTGAGTCCACTTGTTCCAAAGTGTTTTGCGGGCACAAAAAAAAAATCACTTTCTGCTTCAGTTAAACTTTGGTTAGCATTGCATCCAGTGTAACCGGACACGTGGAAGATGAAGCCACAAGTATCTTTTACAGACGGCAAAACCTTGCTTCCTTAACATTTATGTACGGTGCTTACCAAACTTGGCGCTGCAACAAGATGGCTCATTTCTGGAAATTTATCGGCCATTCTTGCAACTAGTGCTCAACCTACGTACTGACATCTAACTCTTCAATCTCCACCCAACCTGGGAAACACATCGCGGCTTGCTGAGAAGTAGACTTATTTTTCAACAACCATCAACGAATCAATTTTGGGGAAACCAAGCAGCGGAGTTGCATTTGAGGAGCAACGTACGCCGGGGAAACCTGGCAGAAAGGACACGCAAAGCAAGCGAGCAATTTACCATTTATAACTAGGAATGCCAATGCACCCCCCTCACCCCACCCACCCCCGCAGGAAATTCAGAGCTCTCATGTAACCCATACTGACAGATAACCGCGAAAAAATCAATGGTAGTGTGTGCTCGTTGAACCAAATGCATACACTAGGGTGCTACCGCAAGCAACTAAAAAATTTTGATTCTGAAGCTACATTTTCAAGGTCGTGCTAGATGCCGAAACACGTGGCACCCCGTTGCAATGTTTGGCGAGTCGTCGCGGTTACCGGCAGGCAGTGGCGTAGCCAAAAATTATTTACGGCCGGGGGTTGGGATTTGCATGACTGGGGGACGGAGATCCCCCGGTCATTGTCCTATCTTCGCGTGCAGTAGTCGATGTACTCTACAAAATGCACGAGTACGGAGACGCTTGTCCCCAACCCCCCTGGTTGGCTGGAACAATTCGGTAGTCATTCAATATTTGTCTTCTTTCCCTAACCAAAAAAAAAAAAAAGTGATGATTTCAATGGGGGTTTGACCCCCCAAACCAGCCCCTGCCTACGCCACTGCCGGCAGGTCCTTCTTAAAGTTCTTCCTACCAGCTTCAGGTAGCTTCTCTATCTGTTTGAACTCACACAGGGGGTGCTTGTAAAGTCGGCTCACGGACGCCGAGTCCAATGACTCTCCCACGAGACCCTCGATGACCGTCTCAACGTGCTGCTGGACGTCCAGCTGTTCCTGCTCCGTCGCTTCAAGGTCGTCCGTTGCCTTGGCTGCGTGAAAGCGCACATGCCTCTAGCCCCAAGGTTCCAAACACACATTCCAACGCCTCGAATAGAGACGAAGGAAGAAAGAAAAAACAATCTATTAAATGGGGTGCCAGCAAATCCACAATGTTTCCTACGGTGTTCTACCAACGTTCCGACTACAGAAATGAAAAAGTGAAAAAGTTCTGATGTAAGCAAGCCAAGCAAGTTCATAACTGATGTAAAACATGAGCACCTTAATGGGTGCTCACAATAACACGCAAGATAAGACACGACTCAGATAAGATGTGTGAAGTACATAAAATAAAGAGAGAAGCAGGAGCTGAAAGGTTTATATACCCCCCATAAAGATGCAAGAGCTGGAATGTGTGCGAGGGTTTGATATCCCTGCACGCATTCCTACAAGGAGTTTTACGAAGCAAATACCACCTACCAGAACGCAAGCACATAAACAAATTAACAAAGCATAGTTCACAGCAACTCTTTTGTAAGCTAGCTGCAGAGATCCGTCAAAAACATGACACGCCTAAACTACTTTTCATTTGCAGACACCAATGGAGAGAGGCGAGGTCTCGAAAAGTTTCAGATGTCGACGCAGAACAATAAAATTGCCGACTCACCTTCATTCTTAGGGCCGTAGAGGGAAAGGAGGACCTTGGTGCTGCCAAAATGGTTGAACTTGACCTTGACATTGTCGTAGAACCATTCGCAAGACTGGGCCCGCAGGCTCCTGTCAGAAACAACAAACGTTTAATGTCCAGTAAATGTATATACTGCTATGAACCGGAACCTCATTCGGCAGTCTCGGGTGAGATTACGAGGACTTTCAGATGGTAACACCTTGTTGCCAAGCGAGAAAAATCTTAATTTTACACTTCCTGTCTGTGTCAAGAGTCAGAAGTCACAGAACTTCTGCAAAGAATCAAGGAAAGCAAAGGCCTGGTACCTTTACTGATTGTCTAATGGCACAAACTCAATCTACACTTCCTTAGCACCCATTTTGTCCTTTTCCCAGGATGCTTAGAGCGAGTGGGTCGAGTCCACGCCCCAAAAAGACGATATCAAAATCCACTTTAGTGCCCCACTAACTACAGCAAACTACACGATTTTCACGAGAACCTAATTTTCGCGAATTTCGCGACTCATATAATGTCACAAAATATAGGTCCCGCGAACATGTTTCCATGTGGTAACAAATGCATAGCATACAAAGCCCATTCATGAAATTTCGTGCCCCCATCCCTGAAAAAACCACACTTGGCCGAACTCGCAAAATGTTGAACCTACAAAAATGGAGTAGTTTACGGTATCTAGTCGCACGACGGTGGGGTGACAAGTCACCCGTTCGGACAAGAACTCATTTGGCGGCGTCCAGGAAACCTTGGCCCCGGGTTTCGAGCCAATTCTGTGCAGTGTCGTCCCTTTAAGGCCGGTTCACATAGTTGCATTTCACCATGACCAAATGCATCGCAATATCTCACAAGCTTTTAACACATCACAGATCGGCGGAGCGCTCCGGCACGCTGACGCCGTCTGCCCAGGTGGCCCCCGAACTGCGTATAACTAGACCAAAGGTTTTGCGCTGATTACGAGACAAAATCTACGCACTACCACTAGAAACAATTACTCATAATTAACTGATGGGCAAATCGGGGGTTGTGAGCCCCCCAAAGGGTCGCGGAGGAGGGCTTCGGAAGGCCGAGTCATTCGAGCATCTTAGCGGTCGCGGATCCGAGAAGTTGGCGCACCTTTGGCTTGTAACACCGTAAAAAAGTATTTCGTGCCCACAGCGAAAGAACGACACGTAAAAAAAAAAGCGTTCCAAGGCCACCCGACAGAGGGCGGCAGTGCGGTCCCTCGTTCTAAGCAGACGTAAACAGTCGCAACAAATTTGGTCACAGTCGAAAGCTACCATGCGGACCGGCCCTCGGGGTCAGAGTGGAGCAGTCAAAAGAAGGCGAGGACGTGCCTCTGTTGGTCGCACAGGCGGCAGTACCAGGCCCGGTCCCGGGAGTCGTAGGCGGCACAGTCCCGGCACACGCAGAGTCCGCACTCCCGGCAGACCAGCTTGCGGTTGAAGAGCAGGTTGAAGGCCGCCGAACACAGGGAGCAGCTCCTTCCCCCCTCCCTGCTGGCCTCCTCCCGCTGGGCCTTGCCCTTGGCCTGGCAGCTCAGCTCCTCCTCCAGCCTCCTGCATGCCGCCCGCACGTCACCACTAGCACCGTACTCCGGTGAGGACGTTCTCAAATCAGTTCGGGATCCTGCCACCCAGTTCATTCTTTCCAAATATTCTCGTAGTGCTAGCGTACATTGTTGAAGCGAATCCTAGGTGGAGACACCTACATGTCATACAAACCAGATACCTTCGTAGCAAGAACACAGAACAACTGGGGTCACCTTCCTCTTGCCTGCCGTTCTGAAGCCACAAACTTGAAAGAAGTCACCGACGATTTCATCCGTAATAATCACTCCTCTCTGTAATGGCTGTGGGGCCCGAGAGTATGCGGAATGCAAGTTTGTCTGCTTCTTTTGCGGGGGTTGTGGTGACGCCAGAATGCCGATTTCTGATTGGCTCTGATTGAAGGATAGGGGGTAGACCTCAAAGCAAGCTGCCTTGAGGTCACCCACTATCCTTCAACCAGGGCCAATCAGAGTTCGGCATTCTGACGTCACCACGACCCCTGCAAAAGAAGCAGACGAACTTGCGCTCCCCATAAAAATAAATAAACTTGATGATAGCTTCTCTCTAGTTTTTCTTTTCTCAGTTAATAAAGAAAAACCAAGACCACAAATCAAGTTTCGTCACCACCACCTAAAAAATATCATTTAATGTTCAATTTTACACTGCCCGCTAGAAATCTTATCACAAACTTGATGCAATACTCATGAATATTATACTCAACGCAGCTATGGAAGGCTAGTCTTTTTAAAACCAACACTACATTAATGAGGAGGCTAAATTCCAACTCTCTTATCTCTACATTTTTTTTTTTCATGGGGATATGCTCTTTTTGGTTTCCTGTTTGCCAATACTCGAAGTATCCTTGAAACGAGGATTTTGACAGATACTGCCCAAATAAAGATTCTGCAATTCCCGAACTGGGGATTTTTAAAGGGGTAGAGAGGGAAAAACAAGGGTTGCATCAGTCGTACTATTAACATTTTCTATAGAGTTTATTTAAATCCGACGCTTCGTTTAAAGGCCCGTTGGACAGCTGATCATGCATACTGCAAAAACCTGCAGTCACCACATGCAGATGTCTAGGCGTGTAAAAGGAAATCGGATGAGACAGTTGCACTAGTGAAAACCACACGTCTCCCTTTCAGAGTTATCCTAATAACACAGATATGCTAGAGATACTACTCCAAACCCCATATCAGCAGTTGCACACAGCATCGTGAATGGCACGAGAATGTGACTTCACACAGGAAAGAGCTCATTTTTTCCTGGATTTTTCGTTCCCTTCAAACTTGCAGTTCCATCGACGGTGGAAACAATCATGCGGTTCTTCCAAATGTGAGAGCCACTAGAATAAAGACGTGCTGGATGTCCAACATTGGGAGCCACCGCTGGCATGCCTCCAGCCACTGTAACAGGGTTTACTAACTCCCGCGGCTGCGGATACATCCCAACCAAACCTGCCTCCCGGGTCTGCGGAGGTTGTCTGAAAACCCTGGATTTCCCTTAGCTTAGAGGAAGGCTAAAAAGGAAGCTCCTATCGTCCAGTAAAACAACCTGCCGTCATTGTCAAAACGACACTGTCATTCCAATGCCCTGGCTCACTGCTCGACCTGGGCATTCAGAAAGAGAACCAGACTAGAAAAAGTTGCTCAAGGAAGGGAAAAAAACGCACATGAGCTGGTCAATGACATCCATAGTAGGCCTGAGAAATAATAAAAAAAACGAACAGAACAACGAAAAAGTTATGTTCGGGACTTCGTTGTTCTGTCCGTGTTTTCTTATTATTCCGACATCTCAGGTTTGCTAAGGATGAAAAAATTGCTGCTCGCTTGCCTGGGGCTCAGTAAACATGTCGAATTCGACACAAATACTATTTGATCAAGTAAAGTTTGGTTCCAGCACCTTGCATTTTCGAGCCTGAGACAAACTATTGATGCAGCGGTAGACAACAAGGCGGCAAAAATAGCCCAAATTCGACTATAAAAAAACACAAAAAAAATACATTATTTTTAATAAAAAAAAATAACCTGTCAATCCCCCTTCCTCAGTTTGACAAGAGAGCCAATGCATACTGCAAAATTGCTCATCACAACAAATATAATGCTTCAATAGTTATTACATCAAAGTAACACTGACAAAGTTCATTACTATGCTGGCGTTGTGCTTGTGAAGCTGTCGTTTCGACACCGAACTTTCAAAAGAAGTTTCTGCTCGTTAAGTAAAAACAACTCCCCAAAGTCATGGGAAAATTCCATTACCCAATTATTTCCACATAACATGCTGGAGGCAAATTCCCAACAAAAGAAACAATGAAATAGATAAATTCATCAGTGCTGCAAACCCATTTTTTTCGCTCAACTAAAAGTGTCCTGATGCTCCACACAACCTTGTATGGGGACTGCATGAGTAACAGACAATCCTGCCCCTTGAAATCCCTTTCATTTCTTCATTTATTTATTTATTTACTTAGTAACTTATTCATTCATTCATTAAATTACTTAGAATATATATATATTTTTAAAGCTTAGCTAAAAAAATAATTACAATGTTTGAAAAAAAAATAAGGAAACAATAAGAAGAACACAGAAGACACTAGTAACAAACAAACAATAACAAATCATGTCATGCCTAAATGGCTATCAAGAACTGCACAAACTCAATCCCGATTAGTCCCAGTCACGCGACGACAACACAGAGCACCTTACCATTTTCCTCGTTTGCTACGAAATTATTGCGCATAACAGAGTTTCTGCCGCACAGTGGGGAGGATTCCTTCGCAGAACAAAGAGATACCCAACACAAAGCAACAAAAGGATACCGCTTAAAAAAGAAAAGAAACCGAGCTTACGCCGCACCTTTGAGAGCGCTCGCACGACGACCGGAACGCACTGGGCTCCTCCCAACGGTGCATTGCACCGCTGCAATTCACCTACTCTCACTTTGACGCATCGACTGCTACCGTCACGCCTAGGCCGTGACACCGCGCGTCAATTCGCTGACGTCCTCGACGCCGCTACCTGATCTACAGTAAGGGGGAGTTTAATGCGAGAGCACGCACACTCCGCAACACCTGTACCCTCCAGTTCCTCTAGATCAATTCGTTCCTTTCTGTTTCTCTCGTAGCTGCTGTCGTTTTTGTTTGTTTCTGCTCTTGCGTGTCTGGAACAGATGTTACTCCTTCTATTCCTAGGAACGCCCCACCCCCTTTCTCGTCCTCCGTCCCCAGTGCTACGTCCCTCAAACAACTCCTCCCCAACGGTTTCTCGTAGATCCATTTTTGACGCACCCGGAATACGAGGCACTCTCATTGCGCTATAAGAGGGCAGTGCAAAGTGTCTTTTGCGTGACAAATGCTTTCTTTAGGAAAAGGTCAACACTGTTCAGGTCATCCATTACCCCTCGAAATTAGTCAGGTGGAGTCAAACTCGTCGAAGCAATATGACATACAGCGATTTCGTATGAACTCGAACAGGCTCGCCCATGGAACCTACGCTTTCCGCTAAGAATAGGCATGCCAGGCGGTTACAAAATGACTCTCATTGCACACTTCCTCCCGAAGAATGGAACAAGTAAATTTACATTCGTGCCATCTGGCCATTCATGCCAACACGAGCACTGGGAGGGGGCAATATTCAAACATTTTATACATGTTATATTTAGGTTCATATGTTACAAATAAAATTAACTCTCCGCTCGATTTTCTTTAGGCCCAACTGGAAAGTACTGCTCAAAGTTCAACCTTACATGTGCGAATAATGCACCATCTCGACACGAGCATTGAGCTTGGTTCGCAAATTGGTATTTATTAAATCTACAACTGTGCACATTGCTCATTCACGGTAGTCATTGAAGTTTCAATGACTACAGTAGCAAAAAATACCCCTTCCGTTAGAATTAGAAGAACAAAGGTTGGTGCACTGCATTCCAAGTTTCAAGGTGACCTCACTGAGCCCTCGTGTTGTGCCATATGTTTGGTATATTTTTGAATTTCCGAGAAAGATACGCGAGAACCGAATGATGAAGTAGATAAAGCTGTTGCAAAATACACTCGCTTCTTCCGCTTCATTCAGAAACCAGAAGCTTGGAGTTCGGGAAATAAGCAAACATGCAACATTTCCAACTTGAGGGGAAAAAAAAGCACAGCTTTACAAGGTTCTTTTTCCTCTTTGGTCTTTCTGTGCAGCTGACACATGTGTCTACTCACTCTTCAGCTGACAGTGCCGCTCGAGGAAGTTCAACACAATATCTGAAGAATGACACTAAGCAATATTGCTCGCGAGGGCTCCAGAAGCACCGAGTAAATAATACCTCACACCCTTCCACATCTAATTTATTCTTTTTCCTCATTCGCTTCTGCAAGCGGCATATTCTCATCCTTGCCGACCTTGGTGCATTGTAGACGAGATGAATAACTGCAGCTGACATGGCGCCGCCAGCGGTGGTAGGCTACTCCAATGTGCGCTCGTCATTTTAAGAAACACAATCTCGATGGTGCATAGTTCATAAGCAGCAAGAATAGTGCCTACAAGATTCAGCTGTCAGCAAAAAAACATTATGCTATGCTTTTAGCATTTTAAACGCTTTGATAAAATGATAAACAAGGGATCAAAAATATGGATAACAAGTATTTTAATTAGCAAAACACTAAAGTGTGAAGTTTGTAATGCTTCACGAGGAGCCAAACTTTTTCTACTACAGTTCGTTGGGTGGAAACAAGTACAGTTTTGCACATGCGATAGGACGGAAATGTGAACACCGCATTGCTGTGCTTCTCCAACTGAGCTGGTGGCTAAACTTCAGCAAGCTCTTTGTCCGCAAAAGCCTGGCTGAAATTCGGTACAAAGACCCGACAAAGCGGTGCAACTACCTATGTCCCGCAATCACACGTGGCCAAGGACCCTCAAATTTGATGGAATCCAAAATGAAAGTCAGCATGAAACAATATTATGCAGAGAGCAATGTTCAACAAAACCTTGTTGAGATTTTGCGCGCGCAACTTCATTCGTCAA